CAACAAAAAACATACAAATAAAAAAATTGAAGTAAAAATAAAACTCACCCCCTCAATTGAAAATTAAAAAATTTGTAGTTGAGGTACAGTTGCCTTCCGGAAACATAGATTGATGCCACAGCAAGAAATAATCAAAGTGACGCGTCGGCAGGGATAAAAGGGCAAAAGAGCAGCCCCCACCCCCTCCCCGCTGTCCCACCAACTGCACAAAAAGAAAGCAAATGTTAAAAATCATTTGAAAGACAACACACATAACAACAAAAAAGTGAAAAAACAATATGTAAATTATGAATTTTTGTGTAAACATAAGGCGACTGAGTGCATCAAAGAACAGCAGCAGGAGAACCTCAGCCATTAGCCCAGCTACTGTATTCAAATCATATATAGTACCATATACTATATGCTATATACTATATACGATATAGATGTGTGTCTTCCCTATCATCTGTTGTCTGCTTGGGCGGCATCAAAATTGATTTCTCATCGTCTCAGTTGCTCAACAGGCGGCCCAGGTCTCTACTCCAATGCAGTGTACTGTGGACACTCTGCTTATTAGCTGACGGCACTAGCCTCATTGACGTCGCACAGTGGGCGGAGTGCTGCAGAATATGATGAATTATTTTGTAAGTGTTTACTATGTGATACATATATAATATTCTGATATATAATCGACTATATGCCCATGTCAGATATAGTATAGGGCAGCTTAAATTGGATAACTATATGAATATATATATGAGATCAGATCCGAAGTTAACAATTGAATACCCTTTAAATATAGCCTCTATTCTATTTAAAAATTTCAATAATTAAATTTTTTTTATAAATATATTATCTACAGAATTATGTATATGTACAGTATTTATGTAAATTAACATTCCTCAAAATTTGTTGTTTATTGTTTTTTAATTTTAATTTTTCATTTTCTTTGTAATAAATAATTTGTTTGGTGTTTCGAAAAGAATTATTATATATAATAATGCAGTAAAGATGTTTCGGGCTTTACATATTGTAGCTGGCACCACGGTGCATCTCTGGCGGTGTCTCTTGTTGTGGCAAAAGGTCTGGGCCACCTACTTTACACGTTCGCTACTTGAAATGGCGTTTGTTGTCTTTTCTACCTCTCTCGCTCGCTCTCTTTTCTTTCTCATCTGTCTAGCTGCTGGAAAAACAAAAATAAAAAAAGAAGGAAAAACAACACGAGTGGGCAGGGGCGGAGAAACTGGGGAACCTGCCAAATTAGTTGCCATGTAGCCTTATGACCCATTGCTTGACAAGCCGCAGATTGGGTTACCCAATCCCAATTCCAATCCCGAAAACCGTGCCGTCTCCGTCTTTAATGTTTGCCTAGTGAAAACAAGGCGGGCAAGAAAATAGAAAAAAAAAACGAATGCATTTGAAAACTGAAATCTGGCAAAGCAAATAATAACAAATAAATGAAACTAATGCCAAGAATGAGACACAGGGCGAGAGAGAGAGAAGTAAAGACCGGCTGCCCCGAGGACCACCCTCGTGTATTATTTTGGTGCAAAACATATGTCTAGGCATTTAAGCTGTTAAGTAACCCTTTGGCAGGACCTACTCTGCCTCTCTTAAGGCCAGCCCTGGGGCTGTACTATGTGCCATTTCTTAAAGGTAGAGCTGGGCTGGTTGGCTTGTTTGAGTTTTAATTGACGGCACTTATGCAAAGCCACAAGGGCTGTGTGGCATCTGCAGCAGCAGAAGTTGCCGGAGGTCACACTCCTTGCCCAGTTAAACTACACAATAAAATATTTGCGCTTCCATTTAAATCGTATTGAAAACCAATTGAAAACTCGGCTTAAAATTAAGGCCAACACAGATTTTGGTCTAAATAAATCGAAGTAATGATGTCAAGAGTAATGATAATGATAATGATAATGATAATGATAATGATAATGATAATGATAATGATAATGATAATGATAATGATAATGATAATGATAATGATAATGATAATGATAATGATAATGATAATGATAATGATAATGATAATGATAATGATAATGATAATGATAATGATAATGATAATGATAATGATAATGATAATGATAATGATAATGATAATGATAATGATAATGATAATGATAATGATAATGATAATGATCCTGCTCCTGCTCCTGCTCCTGCTCCTGCTCCTGCTCCTGCTCCTGCTCCTGCTCCTGCTCCTGCTCCTGCTCCTGCTCCTGCTCCTGCTCCTGCTCCTGCTCCTGCTCCTGCTCCTGCTCCTGCTCCTGCTCCTGCTCCTGCTCCTGCTCCTGCTCCTGCTCCTGCTCCTGCTCCTGCTCCTGCTCCTGCTCCTGCTCCTGCTCCTGCTCCTGCTCCTGCTCCTGCTCCTGCTCCTGCTCCTGCTCCTGCTCCTGCTCCTGCTCCTGCTCCTGCTCCTGCTCCTGCTCCTGCTCCTGCTCCTGCTCCTGCTCCTGCTCCTGCTCCTGCTCCTGCTCCTGCTCCTGCTCCTGCTCCTGCTCCTGCTCCTGCTCCTGCTCCTGCTCCTGCTCCTGCTCCTGCTCCTGCTCCTGCTCCTGCTCCTGCTCCTGCTCCTGCTCCTGCTCATGATAATGATAATGATAATGATAATGATAATGATAATGATAATGATAATGATAATGATAATGATAATGATAATGATAATGATAATGATAATGATAATGATAATGATAATGATAATGATAATGATAATGATAATGATAATGATAATGATAATGATAATGATAATGATAATGATAATGATAATGATAATGATAATGATAATGATAATGATAATGATAATGATAATGATAATGATAATGATAATGATAATGATAATGATAATGATAATGATAATGATAATGATAATGATAATGATAATGATAATGATAATGATAATGATAATGATAAATGATAATGATAATGATAATGATAATGATAATGATAATGATAATGATAATGATAATGATAATGATAATGATAATGATAATGATAATGATAATGATAATGACAATGACAATGATATCGATCATGATCATCATCATAGTAATGATAAGGTACGATAGCATAATATTGATAATGACAATATAATAATCATGACAATAACAATGATAACGAATATGAATATTCAATGGCAATGACAATGCCAATGATAAATATTGAATACCATTTCAAATGATATTTTCTTTCGGTGTAGCTAACCAGCCAGCCATCTATCGTATCTAAATATCTATTTGTTGGGTTGGCTTGTTTGTTTGGCTTCAGTTTGGCGTAATCGCCTGCTATTAATTCATTGTCCATTATCCTGCAGCTCCTTGCCTGACATTGTATGCATTTTGTTTGTGGCACACAAACAACTGGAGCACATGCATGTGTTGCCGCCGTCGACTACCCGACTGCCTTGGGTAGCATCCGGCATTGTTTGGCCAACATGGAACGCTACTCTAAGATATTATCGACAGCTCTCGTCCATTGATAATAACAAGCGGCAAGCGGCAAGCTGCTGCTGCTGTACTCACTGAGCGCTGCCCGTTGGGCTGGACTGCTGCCTGCCCTGCTGCCTATTGTCCTGTCCACTCGGCTGTGCCTCTGCTGTGGGTTAGCATTAGACCACCCCGTCATTGTTAGCCACTGACAATGGTGTCCATACAGCGAGCGCATTGTATGTACACACACACACACACTCGCAGGCCCATGTTGTGTTTTTGTTGTTGACTTTTCGAGTTGCCGCACAATGCGACAGCACTTGGTATTGGACTCAAATTGATATCCAATAATTTAATTTTGTTATCCATTTTGCCCCATGTCCGCAAAATAGTTTTGTAATTTGCACTATGGCATGCGTGTAACCGATATTATTGTCCAACGAGTCCTTTGGCCCATTGTAAAATAACTCAAATGCTTAGTTCTGAAAGCAGCCTCATCATGCTGGTCAGCATTGATCTCTGACCCCTGGCCACTGACCACGGACCCCTCCGTCTCTAATCGCCATTGTTTGCATTAGTTTTATTATAAAATTTTGTTTGTGTGTTGCCTGAGCTTGTGTTTGTGTGTGTGAAAAAGGATTTCACACTTTTCCACAACATTTTCCGTTTATGTCGTCGTGTGCCGTTAGTTTTTGTTAATAGTGGCATATAGATAGATGAATTTGATGTGCTCTAACGCCCTCGCATCGCATCGCATCGCATCGCATCATAATCCCATAATTGCTTTGGCTGGCGTTCAATCGGAATATTCCAATTTTCATTTGCTTAGCCTATTTGGACAAGTTTCTCACGATTATTTATTGGAAGTGAAATTGATTCCTTGATTAATCTCTAGACATTTACCAATTTAATTACTTGTGCAAGTTTAGATATTAAGACTTGATGCTAAATGAGTTTTGTATTGATTCAGATTTATTAAATTATTGTGCAAAAATATTTATGAAAAGCCAAGAGAGAATACTTTGACTGCTTATGTCTTAGATCAGTATTATCCTGAACATAAATATATGCCTTAAGTATGTAGCAAATATATGTATGCCCATATCCTTTCCTATTCCTATTCCTGTTGAGTATTTACAAATTCTTGATTAATACCAAAAGTTAAGTCTTGTTGATATATATAAACTTAAGATTCACTAACTGAGTCTTAAGATAAAAATCCTTCTATGCTCTGACGTTTTCTCTTCATGCTAAGCCATAAATGTCTTTCAGATGTAATCTATATGAAGAGTCGCATTATAATTAGTTCTATTCCCAAGAGTTGAGCAGCTAATTAACGCTTAAAGTGTGTTCGTTATATATAGTATATTCTTGATCAGTTGCGCCTTTCTCTGCATATATATCACACTCTTAGTCTTAAGTGCCTTTCGCTGGCATATTTGCATATTTGAAAAGTTTATAATTAATTTTAGGCTTGTTCAGTATCGATTAAAATACAATGGAAGCACATGCATTGATTATCATTAACAATGGAAATGTGGATTGGCTCAAGCCTAGAGTAGTTTTCTAGGCAGTTGCAGCCATGAGCTGTGAGCGATATGTTCGCTCGACTCTATGGGGCTTAGATCATGCCACAATATTCGCTGCCCGCCTTCATGAAGCGCACGCCGAAGTGTGCGCGCTGTCGCAATCATGGCTGGGTACGTCTGCCTAATCCTCGACGGGCTGCTCTCATCTGCTCTTGTCTTCTGCAGATCAGCATCTTGAGGGGTCACAAGTACTTCTGTCGCTGGCGCAGCTGCGTCTGCTCGAAGTGCCGCTTCGTGATGGAGCGTCAGCGGCGCATGGCCGCCAAGGTGAGTTACCACCGTGAACCACGCATCAGCCAATCGACTGCTGCTTGCCTTGCAGGTCGCCTCGCATCGCCAGCAGGCGCTAGAGAGGGCTGGCAGGATTGTGCATCAGCATCTTCTATGTGGCTACCCCACAGCTGCAGCGCAGCTCAGTGGGTGCCAGCGCCAGCAGCAGCAAGAGCAGGTTAGATTCCATGACAAGTGGACACTGGGCCTTGCCACACGTTCGAGCAGCTCAGCAACAAGCAATCTGGACGTAAACCTGGCCCAGAATTTGAGCCTGAAGAAGGGGCACAGCAGCCCGAATGCACCTGTCGAGCACGTGCATCTGTTGCGCTCCTTTGACCGTGGCCATGCCCAGGTCTTTATGCCCTATCACCACACGCAGTTCTTGGCCGCTGCGGGGCTGCCTGCACATCATGCCACAGCGCAGTTGCCCCAACTGCAGCCACAGCAGCAGCAGCGTTCTCCAATAGATGTGCTGATGCGCGTCTTTCCCAATCGGCGACGCAGCGATTTGGAGCAAGTGATGCAGCGGTTCAAAGGCGACGTGCTGCAGGCCATGGAGTGGATGCTAGCTCGCGAGGCTTCCTCACAGTCAGCGCACTTCACACAGGTGTATTCCCCGGCCCCATTAGCCATGAACTCCGCCTTCTCGCAGCTGGTTCCGCCCGCCGTCTTCGGTCCGCCCGCCCATTCGCATCCCTTCAGGCAGGACCATGTCAATCATCAGCATTTGTTCTCCTCGATCTACAAGAGCTGCCCCCAAGTCCAAGGTTACTGCAACTTGCCTTCCTTCGAGACCTAACTAAGGTCGATTTAGATTAGCTAATGCCGACTTTGTGTGCTTAACAATGAAATAAAATTCTGCGGAATAAATTTCTTTTGTATTGCTAACTGATTGATTGCATTTATAATACAAACTCTTGGATCAAACTGCTTTTTAAGCAGTTCATTTACAATTATAAGTGATAAGCTCGAGTACATTGCGGTAGGTTCTCAGTGGACATGGGTATGCATATTTATATATATATATATATCATATATATATATATATGTCATTTTAATTGTTGCCTGAAATAGCTGAGTTCGAATCCCAGCACAAAACTATTCGAATATGTTGTGTGAGGGATTTCCAATACAAAATATCCTTTTCTATGAAGGAATTTGTTTAGGATATTTACATGAAATTTATATATATATATATATATATATATATATATATATATATATGATTTATATATCATACTTTACATTTTTAGTTGCCAAGGACAGCGCAAAATCCTTCTACTGATCTCATTTATGAAGCTATCTGTCCTTTGCCTTTCTAGCTCTTCACTTCAGTTATTACAGAACTCAAAAGTTCTATATGAAAGATTTATACAAATCTTGAGATAAAATAAAAAACAATTACAATATGAATTATAATTGCTTAAAATTCAAGATATATATTAAATAAAATGTCTAGAACGATTCATTATCAGTGGAATCCTGCTGTATATAGAAGTGCGAGCAGAGAGCTAACTCTTTCTGCTCAAGTATATCTAAACTTAAATTATAAAAATATAATAAAAATAAAAATAAACTCAAAAAATAATAAAAAAGCAAGTCCACATATGCCACATATAGTATTGCCAGAATATATTAAACTGGCCGATTTCAAACCTCATCGCAAGCAAAAATTTCAATTTACTGGAATTTGATTTTTTTATTATTTTTTAAATTTATTAAATACTTTAACACAGTGTTTGTAATTTATTAACTAAGACATGGTACGATATATATATAAGTGGATTTCTATATATATATATTTATGGTACATATAGGTAGCTCCATAGTTATATGATTCTTTACACAATAATCTCAATAAAGTTAATTTGATCTAAACGTATCTTACGAGCTCTTAACATATGGTACAATACTTCCGAGTGATAGACATGCTACAGTTAAACGATTTACAGTTATGCCCAACTGTTCAGCTTGGAAAGAGAGTGAGAGAGAGTGGGAGAGAGAGAGAGAGAGGCATATTATGTGGGTTGTTCCTAGGAGTACAAGTATAGCCAGTGTTACATTACGATGCTTACGAACTAAAGAAATGAACCAATTGCTAGGCTGCGATTCGAATCGCTTCGATTTCCCTAAAACAAGGATCAACTGGGTTGGGTATTTATGGCTCATGGAGCAGGGCAGCAGAGCAGCCAGTGCCTCAATCTTGGGAGTCGCCCGCATTACTGCTACGATCCAGGGCCATGCCGCTGGCGCCATTCGACTCCGACTGGTCAATGTCCGCGCTGCTCAGCACGCCGGGCAAATAGCCCGTGCCGGCATAGGGGGCGGACAGGAAGCGCTTGGCATGCGCCTGCATGAACGGATGATAGCGATGCGGATGGGTGGGCGAGCCGAACACAGCGGGTGGAACTAGCGGCGAGAAAGCGGACTTCATGGGAAACGGCGGCGAGGGAGGCACCTGTGTCGGAGGCGGTGGCGGCGGCGTCTGCGTCAAGTCCTCGCCAGCCAACATGCACTCCATGGCCTGCAGCACATCGCCCCTGAAGCGCTGCATCAGCTGCTCCACATCGCTGCGTCGCCGATTGGGAAAGACGCGCATCAGCACATCAATCGGAGAGCGCTGCTGATGCTGGGCCTGTGCATGCAGCTGCTGCTGCAGGGGCAACTGCGCTGCTGGATGATGTGTGGGCAGCCCCGCAGCGGCCAGGAACTGCGTGTGGTGATAGGGCATGAAGCCCTGGGCATGGCCATTGCCGAAGGAGCGCAACAGATGCAGATTCTCGGCGGGTGTGTTCGGCGGCGAGTTGCTGTCCTCCTTCTTCAGGCTCAAGTTCTCGGGCGTGGCCTCATCGGGCGCTGAGTCCACATCCAGATCGGACTCCGGCGAGCTGGGCGGGCCGGTGCGTGCGGGCGATAGGCTGGCTGTCAGGTTAAATAGTCCGGCTACCTTGGGCCTGGGGCTGCTGGGCGAGCCAGACTCGGAGCCCGTGTCCTGATCGGTTTCATTGGAGTGCGCGGCGCCGCGCTTCGAAACTGCAAGCAAACATAAGCAGAGCCAGGTTGAGTTTTGGAATCTGTCCAGTGTGGGAAAACCGTGCGGTTTTCCACTTCAAAAAAAAAAAAATAAAGAAAAAAGGCAAAACAAATAAAAGTATCAAATGCAACCGAGAGAAGACAGTGAAATGAAGAAGAAGAATTTAATCACGGGTATCGCAAACACAAGTGAAGTTCTGGAGTAGCAGGAGTTCCTCAATTGGTGGTTGGAGGCTGGAGGATGGAGGGTTCGTTGACATGGAAACCCGCTGCCTGTGCACAAATGGAAACAAGTTATACGATATTTTTTTTTTTTTGATTGTTATTTGGTTGTCTATTTGATTTCGTTGTTGACGAAGCCGCAGTGAAAATTTAATTAAGTTGCGCCCCCGCCCCTGTTGCTGCCTCCACTCGATAGATTCGTCTGTTCACCTGGTTTTTTTTCTGTTCCTGTAAATTCATGCGTGAAATCGTCTTGAGTTTCAGTGCAAATAAACAGCGAACAGGTTCGATTGATTCGCGTGAGAATCCCGTCGTGTTTTCCTTTCCCGACAGGACACTCAGCTGAAGGGCAAAAAGGACGACTGCGAGCGCGTCTCGCATTACGCCCTCAGCTTGGAATTGTCTTACAAACTGACAATGTTAACCAGACTCATCAAATTGGCCCATTCAGAGTCCCCACTTTGCAACTGTTGACTGTTGTTTCTGCGCTCTTTGTAACGGAGAATGTTGCCTTTGCTTGTTTTCATAGGCTGTGCATGGAGAGCAGCTATTATAGCCGCTGGGTAATCGATCAGTTTCAAGTTGAATGTACTCAAAGGAAGACAAAGAAGACGGCATATAACAGCTGTAATCCAAGCTGAGAAAATTGCCTTGGACTAATACAATTATGCTGAGATAAGCCTATTAATGATAGATCAATGCGATGATTACATAGCACGACAGGCAAAATTGAAAAATCAAGTGATATTTATTGAAGTGTTGGGCTTATTCTATAGAGTCTAGAGCGTCCTAGGCACATTTTTGCATTGTCAGAGAGTTACCTGCTATCTATAAGAGTTTTTTTTAATATTTGCAGAGCTGCTTTAGTATGAGCCAAGCATTGGTAGATTTATATCCACTTGGGTTTTAGTGTAATAGAATAGATAGATTTAAAATATTTAACTATCATAAAAACTATTGATGCAAGTAAGATCTACAGAATGTTGTCGACCTAGTCGCAGTTCATAGAATTGGCTATTCATAATTTCTTTAGTAATAATTTCTTTAATAATTATAATAAATAATTTGAAGAACAACCACCCTTAACTATGCCTAAGATCTTTGCCTTTAAGAGTCTTAAGACTCGCGAACAATGTCAAATCGAAAAGCCAATCTCAGCTCAGCTCTGAGTCGTCATACAACAAAGGCAACAGTTCGCATTTAGTTAGTTAACAGACATAAAATATTTTTGAGAACTACCTGGCCTAACACCTCTCAAAGCACAGGGTTAAATTAAATTCCTTTAAGGCTTCAGTTAAATTTTAAATTGTTTCAATTTTGCAGCCCTTCCGTGCGAAATCTTTAAATCAACTCTGACTGGGTTGAAGAAGTTGTTGTTGCTGCGCGGCTTAATCGAGTGCAGGGCAACGCCTTGGCTGGGAAGCCCTTGTGTTAACAAACACCTGCAACACACACACACACACACACTCACACACACACACACACACACACACACACACATGTAGCTGGGAGTGTGGCACTTTATGCGCCGCTGCGCTTTTGTGACAATTGAAAACGGAAAATCGCGGGCGTTTTCTTCCGACTTTGAGGTTTGTTGTGGAAGGGCAAGTGGCATGGGGCATGGCACACGTGGACTGCACTCTGGAGTGGCCGTTGTTTGCGATGGCGGGCAGCAAGGCGTAAATATAATAATTTCATATTCGTGCAGGGGACTTACCGGGACTCTCGTCCAGCTCGGTGCGTGTGGGTGAGAAGCCGACGCTGAGATGCTCGGAGCGAGTGCGTCCATCCGTGTCGGATTCATTGCCATTGTAATGCTGTTGATGCTGCTGCCGCGACGGCTGCTGTTGATGCTGATGCTGATGTTGGTGCTGCTGCTGCTGCTGATGCTGTTGATGCTGCTGCTGTTGCTGCTGCTGGTGGCTGGGCGTGGGACTTGCCTCGTAGCCGTCGCTGGGTGGCGAGGGTATGCCGCCATGGAACACGCCGTTTTGTGCTGGTGCCGCACCGGCACCGCCGCCGCCGCCACCGCCATGTGTCGGACTGTGCGAGTTGGGCGTGACGCTGTCGCTGCCATTCTGTTGCCCCGACCCGGGCACCGAGGTGTACAGCAGACCCAGCTCACGTGCCTCATTCTCCTCCTGCGCCTGCTGGCGTCGCAGCGCCACCTGAAACGGCAGATCAAGGCAAAACTGATACATTAGATGGACCCATGCAACCACTAACGAGGCGGTTCGTCAACCCACCTGTGCTGCCATCACACGCTGCCGTTCCGCGATCAGCGTACACTTGGCACAGACGCAGTCCCGCCAGCGACAGTAGCGCTTGTGTCCCTTCAGCGCGCTGACCTGCAATGGGCAAGGAAAATTAGTTGGCTAACACCAAATGGTGGTCAGTAAGTTTCGCTTCGAGCGGACGTACCACGCCATGATTGCGGCAACGCGCGCATTTTGGTGTGCGCTGATAGCGCTCCGAGGCGGCGCGCAAAAAGAAGGCGGGCGGCAAGGCGCCCAGCACTGGATGCTGTGACATTAGATTCTGCATATCGACGCCCGACGGTAAACTCATGCCGCAAATGCACTAACGGGAATACACTCAAATATGGACACGCACACGCACGCACACACACACAGGGACACACTCTCTTATAGAGTTTGTTTTTAAAATTTTGTTTTATTTATATTTTTGATGTTATAAATAATTCGCTTGGCACATTTCAGGTCATTTCACGGTTCACGTTTTTCGTTCTGCTATTTGCACGGACGCGCGACGAACATGTCAGACGGAGCACTCGGTTGCAACTGATTCAACTTGATTTGAATTCAATGCGAGCAGCCCAGGCAAATGGCGGCAGACGGCAACAATTTACCAATACAAAAGCCGCGTGCGCACACACACGCAAACACACACAGATGCACAGGCACGCATACAGCCAGAGGCAGAAGAGGGTTGCAAATAATATTGAGAGCGTGCTGCCCACCACACACAAAGTGCGCTGCCTGCGTCGGCGCTGACGTTAACGTCTACGCCAGCAGCGACAGCAGTCGTAGCAGTCGCAGCAGTTGCGGCAATTAAGAAAAAAGTTTCAAAATCTAATTTGGTACTGTATACAAATTTGTGCACTCGAAGCAACGGTGACCGCGACGGCGACGGCGACGGTGGCTGCGACGTCGACTGCGACAGAATTAATGTGGAGCGGGTCTCGGTTGGCTCTGTTGGTTGGTTTTTTCTTGTGTGGTGGTGGTGGCTGCGGCTGGTGGTTGTTTGAGGTTTCTTTCATTTTCTTTGTTGCTTTTGTTTCACAATTTCTTTTTTGTTGTTGTTCAGCTTTAGGTGTGTGCGTGTGTGAGAGAGCTTCGCCTGTGGAACAGCCAACCAAAAACGTTTTGGCGCCTCAGCTGCGTTGCGACCTCGCCGCTGGTTGGCATGGCAGCGTAGGCGATACACACACGCACACATGCACACAAACGCACACTCTCGCACTCTCACGCACTCACACATGCACACAACGCAACACAACTGACACAGTTGGCAGTGCTTGTTAGTTGCCTTTTGCCCATGTATATGTGAGCAGAGCTAGGGGGTTTGGGAGCCGCCTCAGGAGGTCAACTGCTGTGGCAATTGCAGCCGTCCGGGCCACGTCTCAAGGATTTCTGCAGCTGCTCTCGATTGTTAAAGTTACCTTTGTTTTTGGCATGTTGCCAATTGCCTTTCAATTTCAGCCCTAAGCTCTAAGCTCTAAGCTCTAAGTTCTCATGAAATAATTATTTATTGTTTGGCATTACGATAATGTTCACTCAGTAGTAAACAAAGCATTTAACTTAAGGAATTGAATGGAATTATTTCACATCATATGAAGATTATACCAATGGTTAAACATGTTTGAAGTGTTAAATAAATCAACTAAATATAAAATGTATTTCGATTTGAAACATAAAAATTCTACAAAAATAGCAAAAATCCTTCTAATTTTATTTATTATTCTTTTATTTTATTTTTATGAACACAAATGTAAGTGGAATATTTTTACTGAACTTGCTCAATGCATGGCTATTTATATGTATGTATGAATGTATTTGTATGATTGTCTTGAATATACAGATAAGCAATTTAACAACTAATTTTGAAACGAATGAAAGACTTTTGTGCTGGAATATTGGTATTAGATATATATACATATGTACATTACTTAGAAGTGCAATTCTATGAAAGCTTTATTTTCTATCAATTGTTTTCATAGAAACCACTTCATGATATGGATGATTTATACGTTTTGAATAGAATTTCATATTCAATGATTTCTGTTCTCTATTTATATAATCTTACATATGTATGATAGTCTTACAGCAGTTTAATTTTGGGAAAAGGCTCGTTTATCTGTTGTTAAATAACTTGCAAGTCAAGCTGAGTTGAAATTCTGATTAATTATTTATATTTAATAGCGACTATTATAGTATTGCAAATAGAGTAGGTACAGCTCACATATTGTAGTAAATTTATTTAAATATATATATATATGCATATGTCTTTTTCATTTTAATATTTTTTTTTTCATTTAAAATATAATAATACGCATTAAGCTTTACCTAATCTTACTTAACATAAAAATAGGCGTAAAAAACATCATATACTCGCCATTTTGTTTTGACAACATAGAAATTCGAGTCACGCTGTTTACAGTAATAAAACGCTGCTAGTCTCGTGTATATAAGTCGCTTGGGGGATGGGACTGTGGCGTAAACTGGGGCGCCAGTGGGTCGCATTGGCCTATTAGAATGTTACAAATTTATTGCAATTGAAACAAACAGCGACGGCAACGCCAGCAGCAGCAGCAGCGGCAGTGGCTGCGGCAGAAGCAACTGCTGCGACAGGCAACAAGAATATCAATATGAAAAGTCACATGTGCGACAGAAGCGGCGACATTTTCAAAAGCTCTGCGCACTTGGTGCTCTCACTCACTCTCTGCGTTTTTGCCTTTTTGCGCGCTCTCTTTGCGCTCTCTAGACTCCGCCTACGCGCACAGCTCCGCCTCTTAATGCTCGCTCTCACGCACACACACATTCCAACGTACACTTTTAATATGAACACAAAGCGGCTACAATGTTGTATTTGGCAGCTGGTCGCAAAAGAAACAAGTTTCCAAACTGAAGAGAGCCGCCGCAGACCTTGTGCGTGCGAGAGAGCGGCACAAGGACAGTTCTACACATACACACAGGCACTCGCACTCGCACTCACACTCGCGCTCGTACACTTAAGCGCGCGCTCTCTCTCTATCTCTCGCTCGCTCTGTCACTCTTTAGCTTATGCTCAGTAGTCTGCCGTGCCGCAAACGCGTTGGCAACTGTAAATGGCTAGAATTTGTTGTTGTTATTATTGCTGTTGTTGTAGTAGTTGCTACTGGTTTTTGCGCAGAGGCAATTTCTCATATTTTAACTTTGTTTAAAGTACACACACATACAGACGCACTCACACATGCTGGGTGGCCACTTAAAAAGTGTTTTTACTGCGGGCCAAATATGCAAATTAGTTCGTACCGCGCCGACAACTTCTTCAGCCAACAAAAGCTGAAACATGTCCATTATGTCGCCGCCGTTGCCGCCGCTCGCCATGCATGAGCTGCACTTTATAACAGGCCCCAGGGGCGGGGCGGCGAGGCGTATTGCAGAGGGGTCAGCCAATAGCCCAGTACAAACAGAAAAATACTCTCGTAATAATCATGAGCAGGCACAGTCAAGGCGGCAAGCGGCAACCAGTAGCTAATACAACAACAAAACAAACTGAATAACAATGAAAACAAAGCACAGCAACAACAATCATCATTATTATAAAAATATCTTTGCCAATACGTTCAGTCTGATATGCGCTATGTCGTTAAATTTGGGGTTTTATGGTAGTTAGATATATCTAAAAATATATCTGATCTGATATTTAAGATCTGTTCAATGGGCTTCTGTTATTCAGGTATTCACAAATGTTTGAATTAAAGCGAAATATACAAAGAATTCTTTTTTTTTAAATGTCTTTTCAAGAACTCCTAAGTCTAGATGAGAATGAGATTGGTAGAGCGAATGAGAGATATTTTTATATTAATACTAACTTTATCATGTTTCATAAATGATATATAGTCTATAATATGATAGAGCTATGGCCACTGCTTGAGCAGTTACCTTGAGCTAGCCGCTCAATCAAGCACTTTTACAGGGTATGCCATGCTTGAAAGCCAGCCAGACGCCATAAAATGCGACTTCAAATCTAGATTTACACCCATAAAGAAATCTATGTATATATATATATTTCAACTTGATCATGATCTCAGTTAGAAGTCAAGGCGCATGCATTCGCGGTCTTAGCCAAGGAACACAGTCTAAGACAAACAGCTAGCCGTTAGCTGGACTTAAAGTGCCGGCCAGGCCAGATGAGAGGGGAGGATGGGGGCCAGATCAGTTAGCTACTTTACTTGCCGTTGGCCGTCGTACTGCTGTCTGTTGGCCATGTTTCTTTGCTTTTGATGACTCCGACCGGGCAGTCAACTGTGCGACTCAAGTGCTCAAGTGAGCAGCAGCCCAGCAGCCAGTTCCGATGAACTGCTTCGAATTCAGCCAGTGCCTGGCCGAGAGCGACAGTGACAGTTGCTGTCAATGGACAAGGCTCAGGCCGTGAGGGGTGCGGGGAGGCTGCTGCGGGGTTGAGCCACTTACAGACGATTGAGAGACAAAAGAAAAGTGCCTTAAAATGTTGACAAATATTTGCTGTGCATTGGCCGCAAAATTATTTGATCAAGACCACCGAAAATATATATAGATGTATGTGTATATGTTGTGTGTGTGTGCATGCATATGAAATATAAAAGTATCTACACTCAGAGAAAAGTGTCACCAAGAAAAAATATTTCAAGAATTTCTAATAAAATTTAAATTAAAATTTAAATAAAAATTTTAATTTATAATTTAATAAAATTAATTGAGCCATAATGAAATAAATAAGAGTAGAATAATCAAAGAATATGTTAAACTTTTTGTAGTGTAGAAAATAATTCTTAATTATTATTTATTATTTAACTATTTCAAGCAAAATTTGTTTTCAAATTAAATTAAAAAAATTTTAAGAAAGTCATATTTTAATTTTTTTTTAAGTAAATAAATTTTATAAATAAATATTTTATTCAATTGAAGTTTTTTTATTTTTTATTTATTTATTTTTTTGTTTGTATAATTTCTTGTTAAGCTTGAATTAAAACTAATGAAAATACAGCTTTCTTTTATATAGAACAAATTGTTTTTCTCTCAGTGCACAGGTATATACATGCGAGAGAGAGAGAGAGAGGAGATCAAAAAGTGTACAAAATTAAAAATGAAACTTGAAGACACGCGGCTAATGAGATTTCCTTGCGTCATTGCCTCATTCATTCATTCCGATTGCGATTTGTTTATTTTATGTTTCTTTGTTGTTGTTGTTATATTGTTAATATTGTTGTTGTTGCTGCTGCTGTGCATTGCGCAGTTGAACTTGTGTTTTAACATCTTGTGCCGCAGCCAAAGACAATATTTGAGCAATCATCGAAAACACAGCGAACATTGTCTCTATTTTGGAAAGGTCTCGCCGCACACACGCACACACACTCAGAAGTAGCCACACAGAGAGAGAGAGAGAACAGCTAGTTCACTCGGGGGCACGCTCGCTGCCCAAGCTCCAAAAACGCTTTCCATTTGGAACTGTCAGCGGCAGGCATTGAACAAAGGCGACGCAGCAGCCACTCCAACGTGGACAGGGGGCGAGAAAAAAGTTAATTTAATTTGAAGTGTGTGCAACAATTGTTGGGCTTATCCTTTAGCCAGCCACGCCTCGCCCGCTCACTCACTCCCCCTCTCCCCCACTCTCTCGCTGCTCTCTGTTTCTGTATCTGTGTGCATAGACATATTTTGGGGTCTTTCAGTCATATTGTTTTACAAGACAATTTGCTTACAATCTGTGACTTATCTTTGGGCATAAAGAAATCCCATTAAATAACTTCCGGGCGCTTTCAAGTCCTGCGGTCAGAATCTGCCGGCATGGCCACGCTTTGCTCAGCTCTGCCATTGCCTTGGCCCTGGCTCTGCCTTGGCTTTGCAACAAGCTGAAACTTTGAACTCTCATGTATTTCACTGGGTTTGTCGAGCCATGAAATTACATTTTGCTGATATACGTGGCGCGAGGGCGGCTGGGCGTGGTCGCGCTGAGTGGAAAGCCATTTTCATCTAGCACGTGGCCAGGTCTCCAGCTGGAAGCTACAAATTCAAGGAAACGTACAAAATTTCCTTTGTACGAAACTTTCATGCAGCCAAACTTTTTGTGCTCATCGGCAGTTGGAAAGAATTTCTCTAGATTTGCTGGTGTCATATGCAGATCTTTGATTTTATTTGTAATTGTAATCGAATTATAGCACACACACACACACACACACACACACACGTGTGTATGTATGTATATAGAGAGTATCAATATCCTGTTTGTCATTTGACACACGCCAAAAGCATTTCTTTGGAATTTCACTGAGTTGGCAAATATCTAATCAAACAAGCAAGCCGGATGCTCCGATTTCAAACAATTGGCTCAAGAAACAACACACACACACTTACACACATATATATATATTTATACAATATTGCGATTTTCATTTGACACCCAAACACAAATGGGCATCATTTAAAGGCTCGTTAGCTGCCAGATTATGCCGCTTGTGTTTCGTAATTTGAGCTGGTCACATTGTGCGCATAACAAGGTCACACAGTTGCACAGGCAGCCTGACTTTGGCTATGACACTCTGCGCGTTAATTCATATAATAACATCGCAACATATTGAGCCTTGGCTGTATAATTTTTTAAATAACAATAAGAGGCATAAGAAGAGGCAACGCCTCAGCTCAGCTCAGCTCAGAGTACACTTAGAGAAATCAGTAGCGTTTTTATTTATAATCAAATATAGCTATATCAATAATATATAAAATAAAAAATAAAAAAATTATAAATTGAACTATAAATAAAATAAAAATTAACTTTGAAATTTCTAAAAAAAATCTTTAAAAATTTTAAAAATATTTTAATGTTGATTGATTGATTGACTGATGAATAATCAATGCATAGCCTAAGGAATAAAGCTTACGCAGCTTTAATTTTAATTGAAAAATAGTAGAAGAATCTTCAAAAACTACACCAAAAGTGAGATATGGATTCAATAAAATATATAGAGAGATTTATGTATTATATACATAAATATATATATTTTACACTGCTTATTTCCCTACAATTTCCTTTGTTATTTAATCAAATTGGCCTGTTTTTTATACTGAAATCTATATACTATGTAATTTTGTTGAGTACCTTCCCAGCCATTGTTCTGTGCCAGGCGAACACTGTTTCCGATTTCGATGAGTTAACCCCCAACAGCAGAGCTGAGCAGCCCGCCCCGCCATGTTATCTAACCCTCAGTTATGTGTGAAAACAACAACTACAACTACAACGACAAAGTACGTGGAAATAAACGCCCCTTTGACAGCTCGTTGAGGGCAACTGTTATTAGTTGAGCTCTCGAATCTGTCCATATGCCTGAGCCTGGACCAGGGCGCGTGGTTCCCAGTCAAATATCGGGTTTATTAACAACACTCTTCCTCTCTCTCTCTCTCTCACTCACTCTCTTATGGTAATGACAACTTTTATAGACCCGCGGGCTGTATTTATGTAGTTTTTTTCATTTTGTAAGCTGCCAGCTGTGAATTTTATTTGATTTAATTAAAAAACTGCGTCCTATGACTTTCTATAATGGCCGACAAATTGACAGACAAAAAATGCCTCTTAATTGTAGTTGTTTCTTTGCTTGGAGTTTATTTTAAAATTGTTTTGCTCAGGAGATATTGAGGGCAGGTACTGCAATGCTAAGGGACAGGTGTACGATCAGTTTTCTTAAGATATATAAAATAGAGAATCAACCATATATATATTTTAAAATCTCATTTTGTTTTCATATTTCCCTATAATATAAGAATCTACATTAAAAAAAAATAAGTATATCTAGTTTAATATGCTGATACAAATTTAAAATTTACCGCCAAACTAAAGGGCTGCACTGTTAACAACTACAACAGTTCGACTATCGATAACACAGTAAATACTAATAAAATACCTAAATGCAAGGTGACCAGTCAACAGCTGTTAAGTTAACAGAGTCTACATACAGCCAACAGCTGTTGTGAAAGTTCAAATTCAAAAGTTCCAAAATAAATATTAAAGCAAATATAAATGTGTAAATACTGTAAACAGTGTATTGTATTTATTTAACACTTAATAAGGCTTCATCTCAAATGATAGGAATATAAAAATACATTTATTGTAAATACGCACGCGCTCACAATTGGCGTAAAATAATTGCTTAACCACAAAAAATGACGTTGAACAATATTTGTTAATAACAAACTATACGTAAATAACTACAATTGTTTAGTATTGTATTTCGAAGTGAGCTTCGTTGTGGATCATTTGCCAGAGGTAGCTGCATAGCACGCATTGCACACACGTACAGGCCGGCCCGGCTGACCCTGTGCATTGAGCAAAGGCAGGGTATGCTCGGAGCAGGCCTTGCAAAAGATCTCGCCACAGCTGCGGCAATGATGCTTCCTGCGCGTCAAATTGAACTCCCGGGTGCAGGCCGTGCAGTGAGTGGTTATGGAATCGGGCGCCCATATGCCCGGCGAGCTAACCGGATTCTCCGGCAACGCCTGCTGCAGCGACTGCGATGAGCCGGAGAGCAGCTGCTGCTGCTGCTGCAGCTGTCTTCGTTCATTGTCCTGGAACTCAGATATCTTCAGCTTACTTACGCTCAGCTGTATGCCCAGCTCCTCGAGCGTTGTCTGCGCCTCCGACCACTGACCGCGCACCTTCTCCAAGTCCAGCTTGAGCTTGTCGTTCTTCTGCCGCTCCTCTTCTAGCTCCTTGACGCACATCTGCAGCGCGGCTATCTTCTCCTTCAGCTTCAGCTCCTTCTCCTGCAAGGATACACGCCATTCGCGCTCGATGCGCGTCTCCGCCTCTGCGCGTGCGGCACGCTCCTCGCTGGCGCTCACCTGCGTGGACAACGTTTGTGAGGTGTTCTTCAATATCTCGCCCAAGTTGCACTTATCATTGGTCCACCTGCGGGCGGCAGAGAAGACATTTTAATACACTCGCTTTTGGGGGCGTCTGTTTATGATTGAGAATGTATTTACAATATACGAGGGTAGTCTGTATACTTTCCCATCGAGTATTGAAATTGTTCAGACTAATCTTTATCTCTTAGACTATTTTAAGTAAAGACAATTAGCTGCTTCTCTAATACTAAACTAGCTCAGTTTAAAACGATTTTCTATAAACTATTATAATACACCTTATATAATGTCACGAAATCTGTAAATTATGAAAGTAGCCCTCTCTGAGCTCACTTAACGAGGGTAGTTTCTATACTATTCAATACATTTTTCCTATATCCTATGTTAACTCTTAGACCATTTTAAGTACTAAATTAGAGCAATCAATATCAAACGATTTTCCATTAACTGCCATATCTTTATTATATAATTATCTGTAAATTGTGGAAATAGCCCTCTCTGAGCTCACTTTATCAGCGCTCGAGTCTGACTCTATGTCTATTTTTACTTTTTTAGTTTTAAAGCTATCGCATCACAGAGTTCGTTCAACTTCTGTATACTAGACTCATTCAGTTCTGACAAATATATTATATAGTTGCCTTAAGAGGTTAACTGACGCTATCTTTATTGGGGCAACATGAATATCTATATCTATATCTATATCTATAGGCATATATATTAAAATCAGGCATAGCATTAGTTCGTTAAGTTTTCCTGCTAAGTTCAGCAATTGGATTTACTATACCTAAACGAACTACCTCTGACTACTGGCAAAGGTAGTACAGATTTTATTTAATTCTTCCTTAGCTAACTTTTACCACACTTCCGAGTTATAGCCTTCACTATATTACATATTCTGTAGAGCCTATAATAAACTTAAAAGCATTTTCAAAATATGCCCAAATCCTCTTCAAAATCTTCAAGTCCTCTTCAACTAATAGAACTTTTCAAACTAAGAATCCTTTTATCAAACAGCTCAGCTCAGCTCAACTGATTTATGATTTCGTTTCTTACTTTTTCTCTAACTGTTCAATTGTGCTGGCCATATCTTCCTTTTGGCACTCTAGTTTGCTCATTAGCTCCGTTTTGTGGGTCAGCGAGGAATTGCAATCCTGTTGATAAAGACAGAGAATGCGAGAATCTTTTGTACGAGATCTTCAAATATGATTATATTTGGGTTAGTACGAAATGAAAGGCTCCAGTTAGGATAAGTTTTATTTCATTGGTTTTAGAGATATTTCTGTATATATATATGTATTAGTGTGTGTGTGTGTGTGGGCGTATGTGTGTGTGTAGTTCCTTTAACATGTATAGATACATACATACATATTTATATAATTACATTTGTTTGTTATTTGACTAGATTGACTTGATTTGAAGTATATATAAATTATATTTAAAGCATTTAGAGATTATATATACGCATATCGAATGAATATATATCGTATAAGTTATAGTAAATCAGCTCTATACATCACGATGTAATGGGGAATACTTAAGATGGGGCTTGGGGCATTCAGCTAATAGCTTATAGTTTGCAGAATCTTCAACAACTTGTTATACGAGCACTATATATATATCTATATATATCTATAACATATGACTTGGGTACTATATATATATATATATAGTACTAGTACTAAAGGCAACGCACATTTTATATTCATTCTAAAATACAAACATTTTGTTAAGCAGTTGCACTCCGAGTTACAGTTAGGTTAATGACTCTACTTATTTGTATATATATATATGGGGACTTGTAGAGCTCAACATTTAGTACTTGAATGGTTTATAGGTGTCCACCTGCCTAGCGTAAATTGCATACAGTGATCGCTTGCTAAGTAGAACTAATGGAAATGAAGAAGAACAGTCTAAAGCAGACAGAGAGAGGAGTCTTAGCTTTTAGTTTAAATCAGTCAATCAATTAAAATGTTGCATTGGTAAATTATAGATAAATTATTCTTTGCGAGATCTTTCACTGAATGATGAGTCAATCAATCAAGCCATATATATAAGATATTTAATATCATATAATATAATAATACAGTTTTCAGTAAAAGACATTTCAATTGAAGAGAATGCATAACTCTAAATCATAGATAAAACGTTGTCCGTCAATCAATCAATCAATCAGTCAAAAAAGTAAAAGTAAATTAATATTATGTATTAATAAATTAAGATAATACAAATTCTTTAACTATAGCAAAAGTGTTGATCTTTAGTCAGTCAATCAATCAATCAAACAGTCAAACCATATCTTAAACATATTAGAAAATATTTAGATATATTATTCACATTTGCTTTCAAAAAAACAGAAAATAATGAAATTTGCAGTTTAGATACAGTGAGGATTGTCAATCAATCAATCAAAACAGTTTTACCTCCCACAGTTAATGTTAATTTTTAAACCGCATCGAACTGCAGTGTTTGGTATAGCGAGCGATCACTGTAGTATATTAAGTAAATGCCTTCTTAACAATTAAATAAAATATAGTTTGTCGCTTTCTAGTCGTCGCCTTGACCTGTCGCCTGCTGTTCCCGGGACAAGGCGTAGTCGCTGCGTGAGCCATCGCCGCCGCCCTTGAAGTGTTGAGTGACAGCCACCGCCGCCTCGGCCAGCTCATCGTTCAGTGATTTGGCAGATGTGGGCGTCTTGGCTGCGGCCTGATCTGGTTGCAATGGCAGCGGAGCCGCGCCCGCCGGCGATTTGCGATAGTTGTTGGGATTGAAGGGCGGTATGCCGTCCATCTTGAGATGCAGTCGCTTCATGGGCGGCCCGGCGTCCTGTTTGTGCTTCTTGGTGAGCGCCTCGAACTTCTGCAGATTCTGCTGGCGACGCGTGTTGGGCGACCGATCGCCGCCACAGCCGGCGCTCACCTGCTGCTGGTCGACGAGCTTCGACTCGTATTTCTTTTCTAGCGATTGTAAAATGTTACCAATTTGTGAGGCTTTCGTTTGCAAACGAGAGACCATCTCGCCCTTCTGTGTGAGCTCATCTTCACATTCCTAATTGAATTTCAAACGGGTTGGAGTAGCGGATATTATCTGATTTGATTTGTGCGGCTTAGCAACAGCCATATTACGATTAGAGGAATATGAATTACTGCATTGGGATATTCGAAACCGAGGCAAATACAAAAACAAACGAATGACTGGCGACCAAATGAGTTTAGCTTAATGAATGTGAGATGAATATGGATGTGTTGTATGTCTCTGTGTGTAGATGAGATGGACGCGAGTAAGAAATTTGGAAAACCCTATGACAGTTGGGCTTGCCCAAAGGGAAGTGGAGACGGGAATCTATAAGTAATATGCATATCAAGCTGGGAGAGAGTTACTCCATTCGATATTCCATAAGTTCAGAAGTGTCCTTAGAAGGGAGACAGCACGGACTGTGGAATCTTATAAGGAATACCCATTGGTTTATCCAGCTTCAAGACTTGGGTTAGCTCTCCGAAATATACCTTGGATATTCCTACATTCCATGTCTAAGTCAGGATTATAAAATATGTTTGGAAATTCATCTAGTTTCACTCTTCAACCTGTTCTTCAATCCCTTTTCAATCTCTTCTTCAACCCCTTCATCGATCTCTTCTTCCTGCCTTTCTTCAACCTCTTCGTCAACCTCTTCTTTAGCCTTTTCTCTAATCCCTTCTGCAAGCTCTTCTTCAACCCCATCAAGCTCTTCTTCCATCTCTTCTTCAACCCCTTCTTTAAGCCTTTCTTCAACCTCTTCGTCAACCTCTTCTTTAGGCTTTCCTTCAATCCCTTCTTCAAGCTCTTCTTCAGCCCCATCATCCTCTTCTTCAACTCCTTCTTCAACCCCATCTTCAATCCCTTCTTCAATCTCTTCTTCAACCCCTTCTTCGATCTCTTCTTCCTGCCTGTGTTCAACCTCTTCTTTAAGCCTTTCTTCAACCTCTTCGTCAACCTCTTCTTCACCCACCTCTTCAACCCCTTCTTCAACCTCTTCTTCAACCCCTTCTTCAACCCCTTCTTCAATCTCTTCTTCAACCTCGTCTTCAATCTCTTCTTCAATCTCTTCTTCAACCTCTTCTTCAATCTTTACTTCAATCTCTTTATCACCTCTTCTTCAACCTCCGCTTCAACTAAATTCCTTAACGTAAATCACGCTTATTTCTTAATAGTTTTTCCCTTGCTTTCTCACTCGCGACCATCTCTAGTTGTGTTTAGCGTCTGTCCTTGTCCATACGCACCTGCAGCTTGCGATACATCTCCAGATTGATTTGCTTTATGTCGTCTAGCTGACGCCGTAGCGATACAATCGTGTCCTGCTTCTCATGAATGTCCTTCTCGAGCAGCTTCATGGCCATATCCGACTCGGCTTTGAGCGAGACTTGCAGATTGAGCTCCTTTTCCAGTTCGTTGCTGCGCTTGCGCTCCTCTGTCAGTTGCGTGCTGAGGCCGTCCACTTTGTCCTTGTCCTTGTCCTTATCCTTGTCTTTGTCCTTGTCACTGCCGCTGCCCGTGGAGCTGTTATCGGAATGATTGTGAGCTGCCTGTTGACTGGCCGACTGACGCATGGCCTGATTCTCGGCCTGCAGAGCGAGCAGACTATTGCGCGCTATGGCCAGATCCTCCTTCATCAAGGCATTGGTGGTGGTCAGGGACTCGACCTTGGCCTGCAGATTGCCCACAGTGGCGCTGTGAAAAGATGAATGCTTAAGAAACGTCGAGAGTAGGGCAATGGCCAACGCACTTCAAATGCCGATTGAGCTCCTCGATATAGTTCTTCTGATCCAGCACGGCAATCATATTGCCCTGTCCAGCGGCATCCAGTTGGGCAACTGGCGCATTCGGCTCCTCATTGAGCTCAGCATTGCGAGAGCTGGAGCGTAGGTACAGCGAAAAGTCAATGACGCCCTGCTGTGAATCGAGATCCTCCTCCTTGACACAGAGATTGCAATCGATGACGTTCAGTCCCACCAAGATGCCCATTATGACAACGATCTAAAAGGCAATGGGCTGGAGGAGTCAGCGGACAAAAGGCAACTGAGCGCAACCCACCTCGTCGCTCATCATCAGAGCATGCGGCTCGTAGTAGTCGTACAGTGAGTCCTCGCGATGTTCGATCAGCGCCTGCAGGTAATCGGATAGCTTCTTCTGCATCAGTGCAATGCGCAGCCAGGCACGCGCCCGTCCTATGTGAGTGCGAACCGTGGGCAAGTCCCTAACACTGGCCGTAATGTCCTGCGCCTCGGGGCAATAGCTTTCGACGCTTTGCAGCAGATCCCACAGCTCTTTGCGCGGCCCCAACAGACCCTTCTTCGGCCGCAGGCCATGGCCCAGCACGTGCTCAATGACAATGAAGAAATGCTGCAGCGGCAAATGATCCGAGTCGAGCATGCGGCCATAGCGCAACGATTGCTCCAGCAGCTCCTTCACGACCAGCTTGCAGATGTTCACCAGATTGCTGCGCTCAATCTCGGCCGTGTCGCGTGCTGCAAGGGAAGAGTCCGAGAGTGGGGCTTTAGTGTGAAGCTGTTATGACTCCGGCTCTGCTAGCTACGCTTCGAAATGCTGTCACGTGCCTTCGCATTAAGTTTCAGAGGAAAAAAAAAAACAATGTGAGAACTCAATAAAGAAATTATTATGAACATTTGTGTGCTGTTCTCGTTGCTGTTGCTCCTGGCGCCCGGCGGTTGTCCCATCTACAGCATCGATCTGTCCACGTTGGAGGTGTCAAATGATTTTCAGAACGAGCTGACGCTGCAATCGATGCTCAGCTCTGAGCTGCAGCAGCATAGGAATCGGCTTAATTCCAATGAGCTCTCGGAGCGTGAGAAGGTGAAACGGCTCAAAGACGATCCGTTTGCTGAGACTGATCAGTTGCGCAGCAGCATTGAGGATCGCATCAGGGCCTCACATTATGCAGCTGCCTCGCCGCAGCTAAGGGACTCTGCTGTCGATATGAGCCTGGAGGAGGAGCAACTGACGCCCCCGTTAATGCCACAAGAGAAATTTAATAGCAATGCCGTCGAACAATGTGAAAGTGGGTTGGAACACTTCATGGGCAGCAATCTCTTTGGCGCCTTTCCCAAGCGCTGCTTTTCCACGGAGGACATAGCGCTCTTGTCGGCACGCAAGGACTTTGAGCTGCTGGTGCCGAGATCCTATCCGAATAACCTGATTGGCGATAGCATTGTCTACACGCTGATGAGGTACTTCAACAGCGTCAATCACGTTGTGAAGCACAAATCGGACATTGAGTCGCGACGCCTGCTGCAGCGAGCCTTCTACGATGCTTTGGGTGGATACCTGAGGTACTATCTGGTGCCGGTGGCTCAGGTGTCCTACTATGCTGGCCGCCTCAAGCTGTGCACCGTGCAGCGTCTGGTCGCACTCTATCGCCAGTGTCTGCGGGTGCTCAACACCAACGGCAATGGATGGAAGATGCCCGAGTTGGATGTCCTTGCCCGACTCAAGCACGTTCAAATTAAGCCCATTAAGCTGAAGGATTCGCATAGCACGGAGAACGATGCCGCCAGCTGTGCGATGCTGGATCATGGCTGTGCCAACGAAGATGCACAGAATGAGATGATGATTGTCCCATTGCCACATCTTGAGCTCGAGGACAGCAATGGCTACTTGAGCAACATCTTTTTGCCCTTCAAGCATCGCCGCATCTACAACCTGCGCTCACCGGACGCCGCTCTTATCCTAGTCAAGTTCTACCAGACGGTGAACAATTGCTATCGGTTCCAGGGCCTGAGTCCGAAGGTGTACAATCAGAAGCTAAGGATGTGGATACGTGAGAATCTGCAGCTGCACTACCGCGATGAGCTGTTCTACCCGGGTCTGGGTGGCATACTTCAAATCTATGAGGCTCTGAGTTACCCTACAAGAGCCTCTGTAGGCGATCAATCCTCGCAGGACGACGACCCTTTGCCGGAGCTAGGCGACTTGAAAGACTATGAAACCCTGCCCGAAGAGGACTTGCTCAACAAGGCGGACAAAAGCAAAAAGCTTAAAAATAAAAACAACAAAAATAAAGCCGAACGCAAGAAGACGCACAAGGAGACGTCATCAGATCGCAAACAGACTCGCATGCCGCGCCAACATAAAGACGAGAACAATCTTGATGAACAATTCATCCAAACGAAGAAGCTTGCACAGGGCGAGGAGTGCATCGATTGCGACGATGAGAGCTATGTGGGCTACGTAGCCGCCTTTCTGGTGCTGGTCTTTCTGTTGCTGCTGTTGCTCATCTGTTGCTGCCTGCACAGGGGCAGAAAAAAGAAGAAAGTTAAAATACAATCGAATAACGTTGCGCCTGTGGTCACGCAAGAAGTAAACGTGCCACCAAAGGAACCACCAGTGCAACAACTTCCGGAAAACCAAGCAAATCAAACCGAATCCAAGAAGAGCGCCTGGAGTTCAATGTTTAAGAAACGCACACAGAAATTGATCAAAAAGTCCATTCCTGTAGACATGTGTGCGACTTCCAAGGGCTCCAGTCCTTTGCACTTCAAGCCCTGCTGCAGTATGGCTCCTGGCATGAGGAACTTGAATGACGTGGAAAATCAGACGCTGCGCGGAGCAGATGGTGAGTCGAACTAATGTTAAAAGAATATGAATAGAATCTCATTATGATATCATCTCATCTACAGGCAATTATTATCAAAGTGATTCGTATACATCGAGTTCGTCGTTAGTTTGCCAATTCCCAAGAAAGTTCATACCCATAAAGGGATGTCGAGAAAAACCCAATGTGTGCAACGGCCAATTGGAGAAGAAACGCTCTAAAACTGCCAGCAAACAGTCGAGCCATCAGTTGCAGCAATCAGAAGAGTTGCAAAATGAAAGATCCAAAAAACACAACGGACAGAGGCAGAGACATTTATCGAGTCAGTTGGACTCGGAGCTCAAAGTGGAAGCAGCTGACGAACGCTGTCTTAACAAGGCTAAATATAAAAGACAAAAGGGCGGACTGGCCTACAGCGCAGAGAGCGATAGGCAGGGGCATGTTGAGCCAGAGATTGTGAAAGACAGAACAAGGGAGAGAACGAGAGAGAAAGAATTAAGTATGACAAACTCAGCTCAACTCAACTCACTCGAAAAACAGACCAGAGTCAGCGAGAGCAGAACGAGTCAAAAGGAACTGTCCAATAAAAGGAAAAGTTCAGGTATGTGGCGAGAGCTATTGAGAGATAATTGAACGTAAAGCTAAGTCTATTTATTACAGAGAATGTCTACAACTATAAAGCTGAGCCAAGTAGTTCGATGGGTATTAAAGCAGAAGTAAAGCCTGAAAATGCCGCACTTAAGATTAAGTCTCAGACTCTGTCCTCACCGGATCATTCAAGTGGCGTTGGCGTGGTAAGTCTCGATTAACATTTGCCTGTGCCACATTTCACACGACTCCTAAACAGTCATCCAAAAACGGAGCCAGCTGGGAAACGACCTTCGACGATGACAGCAAGTGAAGCGCCTTTGGCTGCCGTTCGGTTTTCCTTTTTGTCAATTTCTTTCATTTTTCTAAGCATTTATATTTACTTATTAAAGTTCACTGTGCGTTCGAGTCGACGACGTCATACAATGCACAACGAGATCCAAGATTTGGACTAGATAGTCAGCCAGCCAACGTGACCCCGACAAAAGCGAGTGCAAAGCAAAGAGTGTAATATAATAATGCAATAATGCATGCCAAATCAAGATTATCTAGTAAGTTACTACGCTTATGCTAGACTTTTATAGCAAAGTACAGTGATTGCTGGATAACAAGAAATGTTGAGTCAAGTAGATTTGCCGTGCGCAATCAAAGTCAACTTAACAGGTCGTTACATTGACTCGCTCAGTAGCATAAGCGTAGCAGCGAGCACATAACATTTGCTTAACAGATGCTTAACATAACAGAAAACGTAACATAATAGCTACATAACTACAAAGTTAACATAAGAGAAACTATAACGCTTGCAAATGAACTCAGAGAGAGAGAGAGAGAGACAGAGAGTGACTGTGTGTATGTGTGTGTGAGAGAGAGAGAGACGGCAAGAAGCAACCTACAGAGATGCGACCACTCAGCTAAAGTGCCACCGATGAGGCCCACATTTTTGTGGTGCTGTTGCGGTGCGGTTGCAAGTGCATTTGAGCCGACAACGTCGCACAGACGACGACCGATTAGATTTTCAATTGCCATAATACCGTTATCCTCGAATCCTCCCGCGCTGCCTGTCGACATGCCCGAGTAGCGTTTGCTGTTGCGCTGCCCAAATTGGTGATGCTGCTGCTGCGTATGCGTGCGATGCTGCACATGACCCACACCTGCACCTGCACCACCAACACCACCACCACCACCACCACCACCAGCTGTTGCTGCTGCTGAAGTATTTAAGAGAGCTGCGCCGCCGCCGACTGTCTTCTGTCCATTGGCCACATCGATGTCCTGCAGCTCCTTGAGGCACAGCCATTCGCCGTCCACAGAGACGCGAAAATTGCAGAGATATATGGTGTCCTGGACGCCGCCGGCCAGCTCCTCGTTGGTATTCGCATGCGAGGCCTTTGGCAAGGCAATTGTGTTGCTGCTGTTGGTGCTGCTGCTGCTGCCGTTGTTGTTGTAGGGCTGCAGCTGCGTTTGCAAGGGTGGTGCAGGTGCGGCTGCAATTGCGACGACTGCTGCTGCTGCTGTCTGCGGCGCTTGTGGGGTTGGATTTGCAGCTTTCACTGCTTTTGCCATGCCTGGCTTAGCGCTGCTGCTGCTGCCGGTGGTTGCTGTTGGAGCTGTCTTGGACTTTCCGGCGACTTGTTGTGGCAATTTCTTAGCAACTCCTGCGGCTGCTGGCGTTGTTGTTGGCGTTTTAGCGACGCCCTTCAAAGGACGCGATGAGCTGGAGCCGGCACTGGCTAGCGTAGTCTTGCCACGACTCCCCATGCTGGCGCTGCTGCTGCTACTGTTGTTGTTGTTATTGTTGTTGGTGGCGGCAGCGGTGCCAAGCTTTGACTTCTTTGTCTCCTCGACTAGTCCACGCATGGCGTTGCACTTGCTTCACAAGCGCCCATATAAAAATAGATAGCCAAAAATGAGCGCATTGTACAATACATACAAAAAGCTTGCGGTACACAACATACGTGAAAAAGTTGCTGAGTTCGGCTTGAGGTATCTCGGCTGTTGCTTAGCACAATTCTTTAACAAACACTTTTCTCATATACATATATATATATATAAATAATTATTTAAATATATTTAATAAGACGTTGTAAATAATAATAACGTTTAAGTTGATATTTTTAGGCGCTGCTTTCAGTTATCCTGTTGTTGCGTTGACTAAGACTGAAGCGAAAGCTTCTATTGATTTGTCAACTGAGTATTAGCAGCGCAGCTTTGCAGGAGCTTTCGTTAGGGTGGTTCAAGCGAAACTTTGGCATGTTTGGCAAAATCATATGACGCGCGTCATAAACAAGTAAGTACAGTGGACACTATCTTTAGCCTAAATAGTTCTTTATATTTGTAATAAATATTTTTTGAAATATTTTTCAATAAAATTAATATTTTATTTTAATATACAATATAATACTAAAATCAATGGAATGCAATCAATTTCGCTGTGGGAAAAGTGTTAAGGAACTCGGTAGGAAAAGCTCTTTATTAATGCTTAAAAGCTTCCCCTAATGTATACTCTGCTTAATAAAGCTTTTGGTTAACGGTAGATATTGTTTTGTGACAAGGGCAAGCAGTTGGCATTGCAGTTGTAAAATTGAACTATTCACTCAGGGTAGCTTTCACTGTAGTATATTAAATGCACTCACCGGGCTTTTTCCGTTTGGGCTGCGCATTTGCTGTTGGCATGTTGGAGACTGTAGCCACAGTTTGTGGCTGTTCAGGGTATGTGGTGGTGCCATCGATAATCTCTGAGTTGGCCGCGGCAGCAGCGGCATTTGAGAATTGCGTGGATATCTGATTGATAATATGGTTAGAGATGCTTTCGGTGCGGCGGAATGTGTTACGCAGGCGATTCAATGAAGAGCTGGGCGCAGGCGTTGGCGTCGGTGGCGACGTTGATGTTGATGTTGAGTCGTCGCTTTTCTCATGGCGCACCAATAAATCGTCTGTACTCATTGCACAACACACTGTATCAGATCCACACACACGCGTTAAATATATTCGAACTGATTAGAAATGACGCAAAGTGGGTGGTACTTTTGTTTTATTTTTATTTATTGCACACTAAAAAAAACATAAACAAAGCGCGACAGCCGAAGTGGAACAACTGCAACAGCTGTTGCATGCTACACCAATAGTGTGACCGTTTAGAGCAAGAAAATATTAACTATCGCTGTTTGTGTTATCGATAAATCATGCTTATCTGCTAACAGCTGTGCTCTGCAGCCATATTTGTTTTTTTCGCACGGCCCAAAACAAAACAAAAAGCACTTATATTACCCGTACCTGTTTCATTTCAGCTGTAACAGTCGGCTACGCATCAACTGCGTTTGATAAGAATTCTCAGAAACTTCAACTGGGTCGAAATACCAATAAATCGTATGACAGTGTAACACATAACAAACAAACTTTAACGTTAAGCTTGTAAGCATCTCGAATAAACGTCCCGTTACTCAGTCTCAGTGTAGATTAGTGGCCGGGCAATAACAGCGTCATCTGAAGATCGATACTGCGCATTAAGCATATTTTCGCATTTACTTAGAATAAACAACAACAAAGAAGTTTCGACGCTAAAATGATAAACGAATATTACGTGTGCTAATGCAATGCAGTGGAGTAACGCAACCATTGCGGCAGTATAAACTGCAATCAATCAAACAACTACACACGGTAAGGCGGAAGTGTAACTAACCTACACCCACAAAACAAAAAAAATATTTATATATATGTGTACATTTGTGGATATATATGTATTCGTGTGTAGCAAAGCTTGAAGTTTTGATAACGTCACAGACAACGGCCATATTTGTTTATTTTTGCAAACAGCACTAAATTAATTGAGAATCTGTGCAGTGAGTACCACTCAAATATGGCCGAATTACTTTGTTGACCATAATCAAGGCCGATAACACGCACGAAAACGACAATCAAAACTGCGAAGCTGATGTCTGATAAACAGGTTATACGCCATAGTTGCGCCGTTAGGTCTAATACCCGTCAGCTTGCTAGTAAAATATAAATCTATAACCTTTGTTAATAAATTTTAAACACTGCAATTTCACAATTCTTTGTTATGCATAAGCATTTATACATATAGGTATGTATTTGTATGTGTGTATGCATGCACATATGACATGGATGCAAGGGAGAGCGCTATGCGACGCCATGTTTAGACTTTTGCTCTCAATGACGCCAACTCTCACTCTCTTACTTGCTCTGTATCGCTCTCACCCACGCTGTGCGCACAGCTGATCGACTCACGCGGTCTTGCTCTTATCATATCGTCATTGCGACTGTTGCTTTGTTTTTGCACTCCCATCAATATGTGTTTGGTTTTGTGTCTGTGCACACATTTTGAAGTGCTAATAACCTATGATCAAATGTTTCTGTTTCGGTCCAAATTTATAGCAAAGTCAATAAAACTTTAGCGCAGTATAACAGTTTTCGATATTTTACTGTAAACCGTTACAAACTTTAATACACTTGTAAGGGGTATAATAGGTTTTTAGCGTATTTCTGCACTTTCCTTTTCAAAATTCTCCTGATCAATGTGTAGCGTTTTATCAGCGTTGCATTCTCGCTTTGAAATTGTTGAAAACGTGATCATTCCAAGAAAATCAGTTTATACTTGTTAATTTATAGTCTATATCATTCTACGAATGTCTCTTTTCTCTCTGTCACTATCTCGCTGTTCCTTTCTGGTACTTTCTATCCAGTACTTACAAGTTTAGTGCAGCGCGCAAAATAATCTGCGCCCTTTAGAAACATATAAAGTACAAAGCAAGCTGATTATAATTGAATCATCTGTGTGACAACGGCTGCTCCATAGCTACATTGGGAAGCCCCCGCCTCCAAAATAGAATACTGCAACTGCGGCACAGTCACTCGCTCTCAGCTGCTGGTTTGCTTAAAGGCCACGGCATCGCGTAGCAGCCGCCAGAACGAGCCAAGTCGCTGGCGCGATAAGACGCGCAAAAAGAAAGGAAAAAATATAAAAAATACCAAATACAAAATTCTAAAGCTGGGAGTATAAATTTCCGCATTAGCCGCAAGTCAAGTGAGTGCCAGAGCGCTTGGTATTGTGTTTGAGTTGGAAGATAAACCAATACACAAATGAATATACATATGTATAAATATGTATATGCTCAAATACATAAATACAAATACATAGACAAATTCACGGATGCCACAAATCAAGTTCAAAGCACCGGCAAACGTAGCCGGCGGCGCGATATTTCGTCAATTTGTGTCGAGAGGCAAAGCGACATACGTGTGTGAGGCTTTTGTCCTCCATATCTATAGAGATGTATATAGTTCTATATATATATATATATATGTACATCATACACATACAATACAAGTGCCTATGTGTGAGTGTATTTCAATTTCTGCAATTGAAATGTGTTTTGTTTGTGCGTAATATAAAGTCTTTACTCTGATATCAAGAACTGTACTCCCGTCCAATCTATTTCGTATTCATTTTTGATTTACACTCTTTGGGTCTGCGGTTCTAGCCTTAAGCTATCGAAAAAGAAACAACAAAAACAGCAGCAGACAGGTCTTAACCAAGTTTACCTTGTTTTTCGTGTTAGTTTATTTAAACAAATGGCTCGAAAGCATCATAAATATGTACACATAAACCTTAACTGCGGGAGAGACTTGTAATGTTCAACATTTTACTTTATTTTATAGATAGATATATATATATATATGTGTGTGTATGTGTGTGTGCCAGTCTGACATAGAAAACATATGTATATATAATATATATGTACATATAGAGACTTTTCAACTGATAGTACTCATAGCAAAACTGTATAAACTTGCCTGATCAGTACTACTAATACGATGAATCAGAGTGAATAGATGTATATATATAGTCTGTGCGGTCTGATATATCTATTTAAATGCTTTACACATTCGCAACAATATGGATTACAAGTGCCCCGATAACCTTGGAACAAAGAAACTATTAAAGTTGGTTTTACATATCTTTTTCTGGATATAATATTTTTTTGTTTGGTTTTTATAAATTTGATAAGAGAACCGCAGGCGACAGTTAACTACTAATCAACAAGAAATGCATTTATTTACCAACAAGCAAAGTTAATTGTCCAATCAAAAGAAAATTAGGCGTGCGAGTGATAGACTAGCAGAGTGTCAGCAATGATAGACTAGCAGTTACTCTGTACTCAAGACTGAGTTGAGTTTGCTTTCTTAGATACATATTCTGAGTAGAGTTATTATGGAGTATCGTCAATATATCATTAAAGACAAAATCTAGAAACATTCAATTTAAAATTTGTATTAATTATTTAATTAGATTGCGTTCAATTAAGTTTACAAATTCAATAATATCAAAGCTTGATTCTTGTTAAGACACCGAGCATACCCCAACTTACACAACTTTCAAATACTGTAGAGCAGAACAACTAGTAGACAATCAAAAAACTGTTAACTACTTCAAGTTGGCTGATAAGCAAAAAAGAAGCACAAACACAAATGCAGTCGCAGTGGCTGACGCTGTCGGTGTCGCCGTCGCAGTCGCTGACGCCGTCGGCGTCGCCATCTTCGTCTCCGTCGACGTCGCTGCTAATGCTGTTGGCATTGATGACGCTGCTCGGCTGAGTTGCCAGTTGGCTGTTGTTGAATCGAAAACGTTTAAACGTATTTGCTATGCCTAAAGGCGGCATTGGTCAACGTATACGTGATATTTTCAAGTGCTCAGGGTATTCGGCGAACGGCGGGCGATCAATCAGACACAATTTGTACACGTTTCTGCAGCGATTTATCCATAGTTGACAACGCGCTGACACTTGGAGCCAGTTGCTGCTGCTACGGCTCGGACGCGGGCTTTGTGGTGGAAGCACACATAAGTCGCCTATATCGAGTCTATATCTTCGACACGCTCGTATTGCCATTTAGCAGGGTCTAGGCATATCTATCTTATCGCTATCAAAATTGAACAGTTTAAGCTGCATTGTGCACATCAAATCAAAATATAAAAAAAAGTCTCAAGTGAACTCTAAATGTGGGTCGTAAATCACTGAGTAGCCCGAACCAGAGAGCTTTATCTGCCAAAGTTTCCCAGTGGTAACGAACTCTTGGCCACATTTCGCCCATGTTCAGTCTGCTTCTGCCTGTCATCGACTGAGGATTTGGATTGTGTTTTTCTACAAACTTTCGATTTTCCTCAAAGTGAGCGTTCGCTTCTTATCGTGTGTTTTGTGTGAGTTTGCGCTCATAAAGCTCGTCTTCCTTGAGCCGAACGTGTTTGCATGTTGCCCATGTGGCAGGCATCGCATTACACGGCTCGAGGCTTATCTCTGTACAACAAAGACTACAAAGACTTGGTTTTTAAATAAAGCTAATTTTGTTAGACTGTAACAGTTGAATAATAATACTTGGGAAATCAACTCAGAGATATAATAAATTCTAATCTAAATGTTTTTACCCTACGTGTCTATACTCTGGTTAATTATTTGTGACAGTTAAAAAGCGCAACTGAAGCTATTCCTCAAATTGAAATTAGTGAAAAAATGAAAATTGCAATGTTATAAAATAATATGAGTGTCATTTATATATGTTTATATATTTTGCTTCAATTAACATTTCAGTTAAAAAATTAGACATTTTACAATAGCTATGAGACTACATATGTTAAATTAACGTATAATGAGTGGTTCTGTTAAATGTAATGTTATGAAATGTTATATTATGCCTTGTTATGTTATGTTATGCTCTGCTCCACATCAAAAAAGTCTGTACAGCAAATAATGCAAAATATATGCGAGGGTAGTTTGAAAAACAAGTAACAATGTTGCAATTAAGCGACACCGACCTCAAAATACTTGCTCCTTATGGACGTAGATTTATTCATTATACATTTCCGCTCTATATAAGTATTTATTTATTCACTACAATAATAATGTTTGTGATGTATGTTGTGGTATTTGCCACGCGTATTGGAATAGTCTTCACACTTATAAGACATGTTTATCAAAGAGTATATCCTCTATATAAAAATTTCCAGTCTTTAATATTGCACATAACTAATATAATTTTCTCACTTAGTGAAACAGTATAAAAAAATTAATTCACATAAATAAATTCCTTTCTGCTTCAATTGCCAAGTTCGAGCTGCATATTTTCCAAACTCCCCCCTCATATGTGTATGGGAAATCAATTATATATAAGTATAATTATTATTAATTTAAATGCATGATAACATGCGTAAAATAAGACTGTACGCTTAAAGATAAATTCAATATTTCTGATATTTCAAGCGGAAATATAAATAATATGATAACTATGATAACTACAACGACTATCGCTAATATTCCAATAGAAACTAATCACTAGATATTAATAGGAATCTTAGAGCTCTAAAAAACTTTGTTGAAACTTATTTTCGAACGGTCAATTTAAAGTATTGTTTTTTTTTTAAACGTAAATCCTTTTGGAAGTAGAGTCGCCCGACTTAGCGATAGCTGTCGCATTTTACAGACAACTCTCCAGTTATCTGTTCATATTTAAGCTGAGTGATACTTGAGTTTTACACCAGACCCGCTTATCGATGTGACGTCCATTGTCCGCTTTCCGTAGGGGGGATTTAGGCATCAATCAGCCAGCGACATGAAGGCGGTTGCTAGGCGACCGGGCGAGAAACTTTGTTGTTGACTCAACATATGACATGTAATCCTGCTATCACAGTAATACTCCAAAATTCTCGTGTGAAATCATAATATAAATTCTACACTTAAACACAATGTTTATATAATATCTTTAAGAAACCCAAATATTTGAATGCATTTTTTGTTGGGCTTTGCAGCTAAGACGGCATACGGTAATTCAATTGGCTCAAGCACTGCAGTTGGAGGACATGACAAGGCACTGACAGCCCATTAAGTGAAATACCAAAGACTGTGAACACCCCCTAACTAGAAGAAGAGATATAAACCAAGCGCAGTCCACGCGATCAAATTAGCAAGCAAAATCCGTCAAGATGAATGTGAGCAGCAGCTTTTTTGACGATCACTTTGGTCTGATTTACTCAAGTCTGGTCAATCAATATGTGCCCGAATATATCAAGAATATGGAATATACACCCTGGGTCTTCTCACTGCTTGGCTCAGTAGTGATTGGACTCAGCGGTATATTTCCATTGCTCATAATACCCACAGACGAAAAAATGGCCAAGGACGGCTACAAAGATCGTGAGTGAAAATAATTATAATCTATTTTTTATACAAATATATATATATATATCAATATATATATAATTTTATATCGTTCAGCTGCTGAGTCTAAGTTTTTGCGCGTGCTGCTTAGCTTTGCGGTGGGCGGACTCTTGGGTGATGTATTTTTGCACTTGCTGCCAGAGGCTTGGGAGGGCGACAATCAGAGTGAGTATATTCTCTTGGGATTGTCTCGATGATTGGCATTGAATGTTATTGAAATACTCTCGCTACAGCTGCCGATAATCATCCATCGCTGCGCTCTGGCCTGTGGGTGCTTTCCGGCATACTCATCTTTACCATTGTCGAGAAGATCTTCTCGGGTTACACAAGCGCTGATGAGCAGAATCCGCAGCCTAAATGCGTCGAGATTGCTAACTGTCTGCTCCGTCGTCATGGCGGCAAACTGCCAGAGGGCCAGACCATGGATAGCTGCGGCGGTGCCTGCGACATTGAGGATGTGGACAAAATGTGCTTTTTGCGTGAACGCGAACTGAAGTCCAAGGAGCCAAAGGATCAGCCCAAGAAAGTGGCCGGCTATCTAAATCTGTTGGCCAATTCCATTGACAATTTCACGCATGGGCTAGCGGTCGCTGGATCGTTTCTGGTCTCATTCCGGCACGGAGTGCTGGCTACCTTTGCCATACTGCGTGAGTACTCAAGCCGGAGTATTTAAGTTTTGGCATTGCCTAACAGTTTCTACGTTTGCAGTGCACGAAATTCCACATGAGGTCGGCGACTTTGCCATATTGTTGCGCTCCGGCTTTAGTCGATGGGATGCGGCACGCGCACAGCTGCTGACGGCTGGCGCCGGCCTCTTGGGCGCTCTGGTGGCCATTGGCGGTTCGGGCGTCACCTCGGCCATGGGTAAGCAGCATCGCAGTCAGATTTAAGCTAAGCTAACATTTTCTCTTTTGCAGAGGCACGCACATCCTGGATCATGCCGTTTACCGCTGGCGGTTTTCTGCACATTTCATTGGTTACAGTATTACCAGATCTCTTGAAGGAGGACGAGCGCAAGGAGTCTGTCAAACAGTTGCTGGCGCTAGTCTTTGGCATTGCCTTGATGGCCGTCATGACCATGCTCTTCGAGCACTGAGCGAGGTACTCCAAACAACAGCAGAAACAACAACAACAGCGCCAGCAGTAGCAGCAGCAATAGCAATAGCAACAGCAACATTTATCCGTTGCTTTATAAATTGTTTTGTTATTTTTCTTTAGGCCATTACAAATCCTAAATTGTCATTGGCAGCAGTAGAATTTAAATTTTTGTTGTAGATCTTTCGATTTATGACATTGTGAGTCGTCCTGCTTGTGTTATGTAATTATAGCCAACTAATACGAATGATATTTGAACTATTGTTATTAATTACGTATAAATATATATTTTTGTACCATCCTGTTTGAAGTCGGCTTGCAGAGAATCGAGTGAAAACTTATATACTTTATGAATATATCTCGCATTTAAGTATGAATCGAAAAGTGTGTTTTTATTTCCGACTGATATAAATCGATGTCATCCGTTCGACATTAAGTTTTAGCAGCAAACTAAGGATAAAGTAACTGACAAAGAAATTAAAATTTTAGATAAAAGCTTGAGCATCATTCGAAGACTAATTCCGACTTCTGATAGAATAAATGGGAATAAAAATCTTCAGATTAAGAATCTAAGCATTTGACAAGTGTTAATTTATAGCGGTAATTTGGAAATGTGCATGAATATTAACATATATATATTAGTTCAAGCAATTTAGTCATTCAAAGTTAAAAACTGCTGTTGAAATTCTATAGAACATGTAAGAATTAAAATTTTAAGTTCAAGATCTTGTTAACCAACAGATTCGACAAATTGGAATTTCAGAATTATCTTTTGTTGTAGATATAAAGATCACAAAATATATTTTGGAAGTTCTCACTATCCATTCTCTTTCAAAATTGTTATATATTTTTACAACATAAACCTTGAAAGCAGTTAGTCCTTCCATGCATATATATATATAATAAATTCATACAAGCAACGCATTAAGCCAATTTCTTTCATACCCAGCAAATAGTATCCGTTAATACAAACTCAATTACCACGAATTCTGAGCATTGATTTATCCATTCCACTTTTGTTGTTTTAATTAAAAATTACAAACATCAACTATTTAACATAGTTCTATACAGAACGCACACACACGCACGCAGTCGATAGAGTAAAATGTGTTAAATGTTTCTTCTTATAAAAAAAACAAGCCGTTTTATTTGTTTTCTGTTTGCAAATCAGTTGTTGTTTTGCATTCTTATCTAGTGCGTTTATTTCTTAGACTTGATCTTCTTAAGGTAGAATTCCAATTCCTTGCCTTCCAGAATGTAACCATCGGAGCGACCGCACTGGCCGGGGCGGGACGAAACGCAAGCTGTTTGATAAAAAAATATAATTTATTAATATGCGAAGCAACATGTTATATATAAATAAAATGTAAAAAGCTCTCAGAGTAACTATGACAAGCGTAATTCACGCCCAACAGGCTTGCATCTCACTTAAAACAAGATTGATGCAATAAGATAGTTGGATCGCTAAAGGTTTTACATCATCGAATTTTTACTGATTATTTGTAAGAGCAGTGAAAACACATACCCAAGATGCGACCAGAGGTGAACTGATCCTCCAAAGCCTGCTCCACCTTGCCGTACTTTTGACGCTCAAGGTACTTCTTCATGACCTTGTCGCTGCGCTTCTTGGTGAGCACATCGTTTTCATCCTCCTTCTGCACGTGCTTGGGATTACGTTTGCGACCCAGAGGCAGCACATAGTGTGATTCGTACCATTGACGGAATGGCGTCGCATCAATGACCACAATGCTGTTCTTCACCAGCGTCTTGGTGCGCACCAACTCATTGTTGGAGGCATTGTAGACGACATCGGCGATACGTGTTTTGCGTGCAACACCCTCCGAAGCCCAGGCAAAATTGCCAGTTTCCAATCGCAGAGCGCGCAATTTGGTATTGCCACCACGAGTGCGCACCTTGTGCACGCGGGAACCGCCAAGCTGCAAATACATATACAGAGTTGCCAGACATTAGCAATACAATATTTTAAAATTAATTCTATTCCAAATAAGCAGTCAGTAGTCCGAACATAATGCTTCAATCATCAATGATTCGCACGAACAAGTCGGTGCGTTTACAGTTGACACGCGTTAACATCATTTTATTGCAAGTATAAATACAACAATGGCGGCAGCGAACAGGCGGGAGCAGGTACGGCACTCACCTTGGTATTGGCAGCGGGACGGCCCAACTCGAACTTGCGCTTCTTGCGGAGCGACTTGCGCTTGCCACCAGTGGCGCGACGCTTATGTGCACTATCACGGCTAATACCTTGAATAATACAAAAGTAAAGGCACACACATCAAAATAGGAAATACATAGCAGAGCCAGTTGAAACATCAAGAAAACCTTAGCACGCGGTACTGCTTGCTACTCAGACTTTTAATGCACAAATATATGGTAAAATTCATAATTTTTCTATAATACACATATGCATTGTCAACGGGCACGTAATTTGCGCACTTTTTGTTATTTTTATGCATTTCACAGTCGATTTTCTTGATATTTTAACACATTTTGCACTAGCCGACGACTCACCCATGTTCGAGTAAAAAGCGAGAAAGAAAGGAAAAGACACGCACAACCTCGTGTCAAAAATTTTTTAGGTTATCGACTGACAGTGATGGGCAGCACTTCGGCAGAGTTGCATTTTAAGCAAATTACTGTCCACTTACAATGGAAATAAATTGAGTATATATCGAAGTTATCGATACAATATCTAATTTATTAATTGACAATTCCACCCTACACGAACTAGCAGTTCCACAATGCCTCCAAAACCAACAGCAACAGCACTTTTGTTCGATATTTGCCAATTATCGATATATCGATGAATTTCTTACATCCCTACTGTACATGAACTAGAAAAATATAACCCAAGCCAACTCGGAGCAGCATAATTTGTTGATTTTGCGCGTACTAGTGAAATCAAAACAAAAAACAACAAATGTAATCATGGTTGGCCGGAATGCCAAAGCGCTGTCACATTTCCACCGCCTTACCGAGTATATTGTGCAATGCAAGCACTGCGATAAAACTCTCTCATCAAAACATACATCTTCCAACTTGACGCGCCACCTAATCCGTAATCACAAGTTATTAGCGCGAGCGATATTTGCCGGGGACGAGGGAAAAATGCTAGCAGAGCTAAAGGAAGAGTTAAATGCACCAGATCCTGAGCCTGATGTTCACATGGATGTCAATCTGGTTGAGCGGGAGACCAAAACGGCGGTGCGCACAATTATTGACAACCAGCATCAGGCTCGCCAGGAGCAACATCATGCCGAACGCAATAAAGTCATAGGCAAAAACAATAAACTGTGGGCGCATTTTGTGCGCATATCAGAGTTTATGGCCAAATGTAAACATTGTAGCAAAACGCTATCCTCGAAACATTCATCGTCCAATCTGATGCGTCACATTATTCGGCGGCATCATAATTTGTCGAAAAACCTGAGCTACTCTCAACACAGCCTGATATCGCCAAAGAAGGAGCTAATGCAGCATGATGACCGTAGGCAGGGCGATCCATTGGAAAAGGTCGACTTTGATGATGTGGATAGCATCATTGAGAAGGTCACGGATCACATGGACGATGAGGTAAGCCATAGATAGAAATACATTTAAATGTACAGCGATTACATTTTGATTGAAGTTTACGTCGGTCTCGCTACAGGAGCCCTTCTACGAATATGTTGTAGACAATGCAGATGTCATGGTACCGCGACATTGTGATGAGGATCCTTCGAATATGGCCCACGCCCTGGAACATCCGGGTGACACGAATTCAATGGGCGAAGCAACCACGCAACTGGATGAAAAGCTGAAAGCGGAAACAATATATTACAATGAAATGGCTGAATTAGCAAGAGCGAAACGGCGATTAATTGATCTGCAAACGAAGAAGCTTTTACTTGACATGAATGTAGTTGACGGTAACTAATTTAGAGAGTTCGCCAGGGCCCCTTGCACACAATTAATTTGTTATTTATGATTAAACAATAATGTTAGATGGTCTATGTAACAATTTGAAATACAATTACATTAAACTTAAATATAAAAAGAAAAGGTCAGTAGGGTTCGTAGTAATAAAGATTTTGAAGTTTTAGCAACTAGCTAACTTGATGCTGTCCCTGTCCAGCTTTGAGCTTCTCAATTTCCAGGCGCTCTTTGAGCACCTGTTGCGCCACTAGAAACTTTTGCATGCGATAGAAGCCAGCCTTCTCGCTGAAATACATCGCTTGTTGACGTAACAGATCCTCCTTTAGCTCACGCATAACCGGCGTATCGTCTGCCTGTATGGTTGTTGTCACAAGCTGGGCATCCGTGCTGTCATTGCTGTAATCGGAAACAACATTTTCGCCCGACTGCACAGACAATGTATTTCCATAGCGATTACTTTCAACTGTAAAATGTTCACCAACCTCTTCAACATTCTGCATATCTTCATCAATTTCAATCAGATCATCGTAGAGCGCATCCTCGGCAATGGCATTTGATAGCTTCACCTGCTCACTGACTTCACCGGCAACAGTCGCATTGTTACCTTCACCGACAACTTCCGTATAGAGGGCGGCAAACTCTTCATCCTCCTCTTCCGTGGGAGCGAAATCCTAAGCAATAACAAATGATGATTATATTGATCTACTATATATATGATATTTTTTTGTATTAACATACTTCATTCGGTTCTCCGCGCATTGCCGCGCTATGGATCTTAATCATGTGCTTGCTTATGATGTCCTCCACTTTGTCGGATTGCACGAAGTGCTCCTCGCACATTTGACACTTCCATACGGAGGGATCGTTGGTGGATTCGCAAAAAGCGAAAAATGAGCTATCATCAAATTCAAGGGCTTCAGCTTTGATCCGCCCATTTGACTCTTGTGCGTTCCACACAATATTGTGCATACGATGCAGATGTCGTTGTAGATTGCTTGTGCCCTGATACGATAGATTCTTGAGGCAAACGCGACAGCGTACAGTATCATCAGAAATGCGTGTGATGTATCGCCAGACCAGGCTGGCGCTCATGTTGCTCCTACGCGGATTCTCATTTGTGCTGGACGTGGCTGCTTCTTGCACTTTATCGGGAGTTTCGATTTTCACCGGCGTCGTTTCGTCTATAATGCCGTGCCGGCGTTGCAGATGGGTTATAACATTGGCCGTGCCATGGAATCGCATGCGACGATTGCATATTGTGCAAAGGACTGTATCGTTTGTCAGCTTCTCGCAATGATTCCATACATAGCTGGAACCTCTGCGCTCCTTTTTGGATGAATGTTCCATGGACCAACGCACGTTGATTGGCATTTGCTTGGCCTGCAGATTAATGACTTTTTCTTAAAGAATCCTGAGCTACGATTCGCTATACTCACAACTTCCTCCAGTTTTTCAGAATGCATGCGCCTCAAATGTTTTGTGATGTTAGAAGTATTGCCACCACCAAAATACAACACTTTTTTACATATGTGGCACAGAGCACGCTTCTCATCCAGCTTGGTGCAAAAATTCCAGACGAAACTGCGATTCGGTCGACCTTTCTTGACTGCATCCTGTTGATGATGCTGTTTTGGAGAGCATTGCAATATATACAATATATGATTCGAAAACAATTTTATAGGATTCACCCACCTCCGCTAGGCCATGCACTGCTTGTAAGTGCCTGCTTAGGTTGGTTGTTCTGTTGGCAAAGGTTTCGTTGCACACTGTACATCTAAACACATTCGAGTGGTCAGGCACTGGACTAAAGAACCTCCAGACGAAGCTCTGACGCTTGTGCGTTGGTAGCAGGGGGATTGTATTTTGGCTTTCCATTGTTTCATCGACTTCATGGTCGGCTACAGAATCACTGTCCTCGGACATAGTTTTACCTGGTTGGCTCGAATAGAAATGCAATGCTTCTAACTGAAACAAAGTTATTTACAATTACTGTTGCAGTTTTCCCTCGTTAATATTCTAGGAGAGTTCAATTGGCTTGTTTTTCAATAAGGTTCGATAACTAATGCAATGGCTGGTTCGCTGATGAACTGATTCGAGGCAGTCATATGAAAGGTTACCCTATTGTAAAAAATCGTCTTGCAATCGATATTAGCAAGTGCACATCTCTAACGGCAACATCGCACTTTTCAGTCGCATCGTTGAAAATTCTGTCGAAGCAATAAACATAAAATGGCTAGTTTTTCCCCAAACCAACTGCGCCAATGTGCGCGGTTTACGGGGACTGCTTGCACACCCGAAAAGGAACAAAAATTACGTGAACAAATCCACAGCGAATTGGCCAAAATCAAGTACTGCAGCAATCCCACATATTCGTGTAATTTGATGCGTCTAGACGGTTACGAATATTGCATTCGACACATTCTACGCGATCCACGCGCCAATTACCGCCAGTGCACCCACGTCTTTCCAAATGGACGCAAATGCGCCAATGCAGTGCCCAAACTGGATACCAAAAAGGAGCAAATACTCACCACCCTTTGTTTCGAGCACAACCGACAGACGCAGCTACAAAAGACGCACTTATCGGTGGGTCGCTTGCGTAGCCGCGTGGAGACCAATGAGACGCTTCTAAATAGCTTATCGCATCACATAAACGTTGAGGACGTCAAGCCGGAACTGCCCAAACCGGAACCGGATGATGATGAAATTGACGTTGTGTCGCCACATGTGACGCCTTTTGGTGAGTGTTCGGAAAAAAGGGCATTCTTTAATCAGGAAGATGCATGAAAAAGAAATATCCTTAAATCTATAAAGCCTGTTGATATTAATATTATTGTTATGTCTTGCAGTCAATCAGGATCATACGAATGCCATACCACAAGTTGTGGCGAGCGTGCGTAAGCGGCGTCGCATACTGGATTATGCCTCTGATAGCTCAAGCAATGACGGGGATCCGCCATGCTTGAGAAATACAGCGAAAGATTTGGAGTTCTTTGAATCTGATTATGAAAGCGTAGACTCAGAGGAGGACGATCCGCTCAAGTGAGTCAACATACATTGCCTCATTTGTAGGCATATTAAATTTACTCTTATTCGTAGGCATGCTGGCGTCTACACACGTGCGGAGGCAGTGCGTCTTTCAGAGATGAAATTGATCAAACTGCAGGGCTTGTACCGCGGGCAGATAACACATTTGCAGCATATTTTAAAGCAGCGTCGCCGTATATATTTGCAGGATATACGACGGGAGCGCGAAACCTACTGTAATTGATCAATTTACTTATGTTCAATTAGCAATTATTTAAACAATTATTACATTGTAGGCAGTATTCATGACCAACTCAAGGACACGCCGCACGAGCGAAAACTGTATGAGCAATTGAAAGCGCTGAATGGCTATCATAGGCGACAGGGCATGGAAGCGGTTCTCTATAAAAAGATGAAGGAGAAGCGATCACGCGACACTGTGGTGTCAACCAAAGCGTCTAGTCAGCCAAAGTGCGTATTTACTGAAGGTGGCGTCAAGTGTGGCGAACGAACATTACCATGCTGCAAGCATTGCCGCAAGCATATACTCGAGGATAAGCGCCAGGTGCTATATCGCGCCTGCGGCGTAGAGCGCAGCGGTGTCGTCTGCCAAGAGCCCGTTGCAAGCATACTCGAGGACTCGACATGTGTGCTGCATTTGAATGTGGCGCCGGCCAAGCGCCAGTATATACAAAAGGTGCGTTAATTTAGAGGCTGAGCCTGAAAATACCTAACTACCAATACCACTACCAATAGCACTATTTAGAGCACTAGCACTAAAAGCATAAGCCCTGCGCCTACATTTGTGTAAATACTAATTGCATACATATACATACATAGACACTACTCAATTCATACAAACATCGCAAAGACAAATAGATTTGACGGCTATCGATTGTTATCGTTCTGATTGAGCAGCCATTCCAATTGGCTGGTAGTTCCAATATTTATACACATACAACTATATAGTATAGTATAGTCCTAGCTAGACATACATACATACGTATACATATATGTAAGTATTTCGTAGCCTTTAATTAACAAAAGCTTGTGATCAAATTTTGAATAAAATACCGACATCTCATCCCCCCTCCCCCTCCATAGTTTTATGAAGTACCGAGCATACCGTCAATCGAAAGTATATTTGCGACTGGCGGCAGTGAGGATAATTTTAATGGTGACAGTGATCAGATCGATGAGTCCATTGACTCTAGCACTCAGAATGATCTACTGGAGTTAACAAATGGTATATTTGATTTTGATCATGATACCGTCGAAGATTTGGCTAATTCAATTGATCAGAATTATGCCATGTTACTCGATATGGACTGTAGTGAGCTGGGGCTGGGGCTCGAAGATCCATATATGACCGATAATAGCATTATTTTTGAGAATCAAGATCAAATTTCCAACGCAGACGAAGCAGCCTCAATCGATGCAATTTCCAATGAAACCTCCAATCCAAATGCCATGCAAACTGATCAGAATTTTGAATTTAATGAAACCGAGGGGGATATGTTGAACATTCTCGAAGGCATTGAACATATGCCCTGGTTCGATGCACTGCTCAACTAATTGAAATTGAAACTATTTAACTGCATGTACATTTCTAACATCTTTCATTAACAAAATTGAAACGTTGCGCAAATAATTCTAATACACGTCAATTATCATTTACAGAAATGCGAATCTGAGACCGAGGACGAAGAACCGTCTTCCACTACAGTTAAGCGCGACATCAAAAAAGAGAAAAAGGAGTTAGAGGCAAATAATGCCCTTAATATAACCACAGCACATGGCGACCATAATCCGAAAGATAAGATTAAGAATAAGTGAATGCAGAAAAAGTGTGTAAAATCGGTCGGGTATATAGTCAAATTTCGCAACATATATTTGTCTCTAGTTTACTATTTCTAAATGTTTTATGTAATTAGTTTTAAATCGCATAAGAGTTTTATGAAATATATGTACGTGTTTATTTGTTAGTTGAAACTTTGAGTTTAAATTTTGATTAACGGACAAAAATATCGATTTAGCGCGCATCTCTAATTGACAGGGTGCTTATAGGAGTGCACCCTGTGCGTGCATATAGCCTGTTCGTTCGCCGAAAGAATTGTTTATATTGGTGCTTTTTTTTAAATAAAAGTTTATTTAAGAGCTTCTGAATATTAGTATACTTAAATAATGAAGCGTCACTTGCATCTGGGCATTAAACAGGTAAACGATCTCATCAAGATTGCATCCAGATTTGTTAATAGAACCAACATTTTAGCTGACCGCCAGTTACATCAATGGACAATTGTCTCCGCTGGTGGTGACGGAGCAAGCGCTGGCGGAGTCAATTAACCTGAAGACCCTGAACGCATTTGTGTGCGTTGCAGCCGAGCAGGCGCAGCAGCAGGCCAAGGAGTCTGTGCAACGGTATGCGGAGCAGCGGCCGCTTGGTAGCTTAGATGGTGTTACCGTAGCTATTAAGGACAATTTCTGTACCAGGAATGTAGCCACAACTTGTGCGTCTCGGTAAATAGCCTGAGATTCGGTCAAGGGGTCGTGTTATAAATTAAATTATATACAATTACAGCATGTTAAAGGATTTTATACCGCCCTACGATGCAACTGTTTGCGCCCGTTTAAGAGAAGCCGGCGCCGTTTTTCTGGGCAAGACGAACATGGATCAATTTGCTATGGGCGCCGGTACAGTGGACTCCATATATGGGCCAACCAAGAATATTTGGAGTGAGTCCTTTAGTCAGGACAACTGGCGAATAGCAGGTGGCAGTTCTGGTGGCTCTGCATCAGCTGTTGCAGCTGGTTTGTGTTATGCGTAAGTTTTTTTGAGTTGTTTACATTTTTCACTCGATCTAACCTCAAACCTCGCCAGCCGTCAAAGCAAATCAAAAACTTGCGTAAATATGCGCTTAATTCACTTTTAAAGGCAAAGATAGTCACCAAATGAACTCGTGCCGAAATATGTTCGTTTATTTACGCACAGTAGGCGCGTTACCGCTGTGGTCAACAGCATTTTCCATTACATAACATTCGCTTACAAAACAAACTAAGGGTTAGTTCACTAATTGTTTAAATTATAATTTCCGTTTCGCCGAGATCCTCGTCCGATGGCAGCACAATTTTAGCGGGATCAACATAATTAGGGCTAATCAAATCGCCGCCAGCCTCTTCGCGGCGACGGAGCTCCAAAAAGCCCTCGCGTTGTGCCCAGTCGCGCATTTGCGTGTCGGGCAAATAAGCCCAATAGAATGTGCCCCAAACAAGGCACAGTGTGACAGCAAAGAAGAATGTTGACTTTGTTGCTTTGCGATCCTCGGCCTCAGTTTTCGTATCAAATCCGTAGCTCATCCAGTTTTTCGGGCTGGGATTGGCAAAGTCTTCGGTTGTAACGCTGGCTGGTGCTGCAACCGTTTCATCCTTCTTTGGCGAGGTTTTGATGCTGCGGCATAGGCGTAGCGTTGTTGCCTGGTTGAGCGCTGCGGAACGCTGCAGCGCCACGGCGCGGCTGGTTAGGCGAAAAAGCGCAGACATCGCTTCAGTACGCTTAAATTATTCGCAATTTCACGTAAATATTTTACTTTTGCGTTCGTTTGTGGCGCAATGTGGCCGTTTCACATCTGTCAGCTGTGTAGGTGTCAAACAAAAAGGTCAACCGATATATCGATAGAGTCATTATCTACAGAATTATCGATAGCTTTGTAAAGTATTCAAATTAATTTAAATTCATCCTTATTGCAGTGCAATTGGCTCCGATACGGGCGGTTCAACTCGAAATCCCGCTTCTTATTGTGGCGTGGTGGGTCTAAAGCCAACGTATGGCCTTTGTTCTCGCTACGGTCTTATACCACTTGTAAATTCAATGGATGTACCCGGTATATTAACGCGATCGGTTAGCGATTGCGTTGAGGTGCTTAATGCAATAGCTGGACCTGATGCATTGGATTCGACGACAATACGACAACCATACAAGAAACTAAAATTGCCAGAACTAGATCAAATTGATTTGCGGTGTCTGCGCATTGGCATACCCAAAGAATACCATTGCGAAGGACTTTCCGCCGAAGTACTCGAAACCTGGTCCAAGGTGGCGGATCTGCTGGAGTGCGCAGGTGCCAGTGTACGACAGGTGTCAATGCCTCACACTGCGGCCAGCATATTCGTGTACTCCATACTAAATCAATGCGAGGTAGCCAGCAATATGGCGCGCTACGATGGCATCGAGTATGGACACCGTGCATCAGATGAGCGAAGCACGGAACAGCTCTATGCTCAGTCGCGAACTGAAGGCTTTAACCAGGTAGTCAAGACGCGCATATTAACGGGTAATTTTCTGCTGTTGCGTAAAAACTATGATCATTATTTTGAAAAGGCATTACGCGTGCGTCGTTTGATTGCCGAAGATTTTAAAAAAGTGTTTAATCCACCCACAACCAACGAAAAGGTGGACATATTGTTAACGCCCACAACACTAAGCGAGGCGCCACTTTACAAGGACTTTGCCGCCCTTAGCAACCGCGATCAGTGCGCTGTACAGGACTTTTGCACACAGCCTGCCAATATGGCAGGGATCCCAGCTGTATCGATACCAATACGATTGTCCAAGTCCGGCTTGCCGCTTAGTCTGCAATTAATGAGTAATAACTTGAATGAACAGCTGCTACTTACAGTTGCTCGTTGGATCGAGGGTCAGGTGGAATTCGATTGCCTAGAGAGTTTGCAGCGACATACGGCATGCGTGTGAACTTAAGTTAATAATAAGTTATAAATATAATTTTCATCTAAAGCTTCTTGAATTTCAACTTTATTTGAATATGAGCTTGATTTGAGTCGTTTAAAAGTGCGATAAAAATACTCATCCCGATAACGAAAGCAATATTCGATATCAATATCGATAGATTAGCACTTTAATGAAACAGTCTGGCAACGCAGCTATGTCTGACGAAGGTAAATGTGCGGATTTAATACAAATTCGAGCTCCAACATTACGCGGCTTAAGAAAATGTTCAAGTTGCGGCGCCATAAATGGCAGTCGTGCTCTCTTCTGTCGGAATCTTGCGTGCCCGCAAAATAAAAACCTTCTCGATGGCGTACAGCTGGTGTACCAACGTGCCGGCTGTGCTGTCTATTCGGTGCGTACCAAAGAACGGGATCCAGAAGCGCAGCCACGAAATTTTGTGTCCATTGAGGATGTGACTGTGTCGTTGCAACCGAATGCAGCAGTTGTTTCCAGCAAAGCGTTGTGCTATGTGGACGCTTGCAAGGCAGACAACGACTGCCGGCACATCAAAGCCTGTCGCGATGGTCAGGATCAGATGCCCATGGCGCAGGTGTACACCGTGTCACGTGAGGTGCTCTGGAATCTAAACATTACTATAGAGCAAAAGCAACAGCTCTGGCAGCAGTATAAGTCGGCCGAGGAGCAGGACCACTGGCCGGCAGTGCAGCGATTAAATGCAACAACTTTTGTGGTCAAATGCCAACGATCGAACACGTTTCCAGCGGCACATCTGCATGTGACGGCGCTGGCTAATGGACTCTCCACCAAGAAGGGCACCTATGCGTGTGCTTGCCGCAAGCTAAAGATTATAGTAGAGCCAGACAACTCACTGGTCATGCAGGATGAAATTTGTGATCATTTGCTGCTCGTGTTGGCTGGCATACTCAGTTCGCCGCAGGGCAAGACGGTCTATGGCAACTTTACAAAGAGTCTGCAAACATTTTGGATGCCCGACAAGCTGGAGACGCCTCTTGGCGAAGCTACACACGATGATTTGCGCCTAAGCTTGAGCATAATCCCAAGCGGCGATGTTGATCTCTCCGAAGACATATACATTTTTGACGATGAATTCTGTGTGGCCGACACGGATGTAAGTCTGTTGCAGCCACAAAAGCCTCCCCATTTACCATGTTTAAATCTTACAGCTGCTGCCCATGCCGGAGGCGCTTTCAGATATTATTTACGACATGGATACGGCGCCTACAGCGCACAGCGCCAGCAGCAGTTGTGCTCCTAACGATGCCCAACTCTTGTCCAACTTTGATATATACGCTGAGCAGCAGCAGGATCAACATCTGGAGTTGACCGATTGCAATATTGAGCTCATGGATCAATATCAGCTGACCGATCAGCTAGATTTGTGCAGCGAGGATATTGAGCTGCCCTTGGTTAGCGAACCATACAACATACTGGCGCCTCAGCCCATCTTTGCAAAGGCACCGCCAGCAGCCGCCAATCAGCTGCCCGCCATAGAGTTGCCCACGATTGCGGTCGTCAAGAAGTCTGCCATCAAAGCATCTGAAATTGTAGATGAGGTAAAGACGCGCAAGCAACCGCCGCTACCAGCGAAACGTGCGCTCATTGTGAACGAACCTACGTGTACAACTGCGGTTGAGGCTGTGGGCGTGGCAGTACAGCCAGCATTGGCATATGAGGCCTGGCTCGACTATGTAATAGAGCTGCTGAACTCAACCATCGAACCAGAGCCTGTGCCTCAGCAGGCAATTAGCACACGGCAAATGCTGCAAAGTTTTCATGTGCACAAGGTGAGAGCTCTTAAGCGTTTTTCATGCTTGGAGCATAATTACGCATTGTTTATCCATGAATCTAATACTCATACCTTTTAGGAAACATTCTCGCACTTAAGCAAGAGCTTCAGTGCTGGCATCAAGCGTCGTCCCTTGCATCAAGTGGCTGTCATTGACACAGGCAAGCATAAAGGTCTGAGCAAGTATGTCTGGCACTTCAGTGCCTCGCACACTGTGAAGCGCATCTTCAGCAGTCGCAATGTGTGTATACGGTATAACAGATACTTTAAACTGCCAACTAACATGTTTGTTTCTCTTTAAATAGCTCAACTTGCAGCTGGAACGTAGCTTTGAGCGCCATGCGCTTGGACATTTTGTGCCGTACGTGCGACAGACGCCCACACAGGCATCCGCACAGGGCAGACAACGTCCGGTGCATGCCAAACTGCGGCTCTACATGGTTAAAATGCTCTTTGATGTTGAGCAACAGGTTAGAAGGTCGCTAAAAAGGCTGCAATATAAAGAAAATATTCGGTGACATTTTGTGGCCCATCTGGAGGGCAATACTTGACTTGAAATACTGTCAATCTATCTACTATTATTATTATTATATTTGTAATATTCAATGCAGCCTTGTTATTTGCTGAATTTAACATTGATACAGTATTTCTAATGTCTATGCAATTATTAACTTGCAGACAAAAAGTGGTTTATACATATACTGGATGCCCGACGTGCTGCCTCGCAGCAGCTTTGGACAGATGGATGTGGAATTTACACTGCAAACGCAGGCACCAATTTAAATGTGCGTACTCTTTTGAAATTTGAAATCAGATGTTCTTTATTTATATTTCCATTCAGTTTAGTTTTATAAGTTTTTGTGTTTTGTTTGTTTTTTTCTTTTTGTTTTTCTTTGCATCCATTGCAACTTGTCATTAGCTTATCCATAACTTAGATGTACATAAACTTATATTCTTTCAATTTTCTGATGTATATCGAGATACCTTTTCTCATCGCTACGCCTTGAGCGCTACTTGAAGCATTCACTTGGCTATTTTGCTGCACTCTTTTAATATAACTTGCTTTACTTCACTTTGCTGTTCTACTTTACGTTTTGCTTTGTTTCCTTTTGCTGATGATCTACTCTGTAATTCCCTTTTAAAAACTATGGGCTGTATTCACGTATCCCTTTCGCTTTATGCTTAGCTCTAAAATCGTGGGTTATGCTTAGGTTAGGTTTTTTCGCTACTTTTCAGCTTTCTTACTAAACTGTTTTTTTTTTAGTTTTTTATTTATTTTTTTGTGATCATTTTGTGGTTTTTTGTTTTGTTTTGTTTTCACTTTTATACGCTTAAGTTTGACATTCATCACATTTATAAATTGCATAACACCGTCAATTAGATAATATATATATTAATATATGATTTGTGAAGGTAGTTAGTCTTGGAAAGGTTTCCTTGCTCGAGAAGTGTGTGCAGATTTTTACTTTTAATTTACTTTTAAATATTTTTCTTAGTTTTTCGGTTGTGTTTCCTCTTTCTTGTTCTTTTCATCTTCATCTTCATCTTCACATTGGCTCGCCTCGTTTTCAGGATTTTATTTTAATTTTTTGTTTGGCTGTCAATTTACAAATCTTCATTCATTCATTAATTTAATTAATAATTTTCATTTAAATAGTACATACATTGTGTATAACTAAGAACTAAATTTGTGTTTATAGTTAAAATGCATTAGTAATATTTTAGTTTGAAAATAATATGGTTTTTCGTATATTACAGATGAAGCATTCCAGTTGTTGCCTTTAAGTTATGAGAATTTACAAGCCATCTAAGTTATACATATATCTATGTATATATATAGATCGTATCTTAATTTAAATACAGTGCCCTAGAGCTTTTGTATGCTCTATAACAAACAAAATATGAAAATTGGTCGTTAGGTTGAATGTTTTTTAGGTTTTTGTTTTTTTTTTTTATATTTTACTTTCTTTAATATAGAAATGCAGCTTGTTTTTGAGCGAAATCATATTAGAGTTAAGCTATTCGGCTGTTATACATTGTAAGTGAACTGAATTGAACTTTTGGTATACTTGAAATCGAAAGCAATTCAAAAGTTTAGATACAATAATACAATATAAAGAGTATACCTGCTTAAGATAAAGTGTACAAAAAACCAGTCTTTAAAACATTTATCAGTAAATACATATACTTATACGCGCTCGCTTACACATGTATACATCTTACAGGACTTTTATCTTGACTCGACTCGAAGCATAAATGTAGGAATTGTGCAGCTGTTCAGAGGAGTTCAACTGTATATACATATCTTAATATATATATATATATATATATATATATATATATATATAAATATATATATATATTTCAAACACCCTAATAACATATATGCATATATATAATATGTGAAGCTTGCACAATCCATTGTGTCCTTGAACTCGCTTCTATAGCCATGGCAATTCATAGTGCAAACAACTATATCATTTACTTATGACTCTGTACAATATGGAATCGGGCATTCGCAAGGTGAAACGCCATGGGCTTATTTCTTTAGACATTTCTTAGATTCGCTTACGCCTTACATTCGCTCACAAAACTTCGTTCATACCTTGTCCACAAAAAAAGAAGAGATTTGGGAAACACAGTTGTCAATATGTTTTAGTTGATCGATTTTTCAATATTTTCTTTTTGAATTTTTCCACATGTATTTGTATATTTTAGTAATACTTTGCCCGCGATACGCTTTACATACAATTAGTTCTTAGATACTAAACGCTAAGCAGTTTTTATTTCGTATTTCGTATTTCGTATTTTGTGTTTTTGTTTTTACAATATTTATAGCATTGAGAGCCGCTCGAAAAGCTCGTCTTAAGTTCTATACGCGATTCTACACATAGATATATATTTATTTACAATTGTGATGTGCCGTGTGTGTGTTTTTTAACATTTCTTTACGATTTACAGTGATGTGGTTGTTTTTAAAGTGCTTCGATTAAATTTGAGAAAATATTTCTAGATATCTAGACGTGACATTATGTAAATATGCAAATTTGCTTAAATATTTCGTTTTCTTGTCTATTAAATTCGCATAATTTTCGCTACGATTTTTTTTTTGCTTTGTTTTGTTTTCATTTTGAAGCTTTAACATTTTGTAATCGTTGTAATAATTGGAAATTGAGCGGAAAACAGTTATTGTTAACAGATTGTAGGACGGACATTGAAACAATTTCGCAAACAATATGACAATATGACAATGCGTAACGGTAACTGGCCTTATATGCGTTAACACCTGATTTGAACTAATTAGTTAGAGCATGGCACAAAAAAGTACAATAAAGTTTCCTTCTATAAAAAACTAACTTTAATTTGTAACTAAATTAGGGAAATTTCTTATATTTACTTCTTTTGTTTTCAGTTTGATTTTTGTGGTTTTGTTTTTGTGGGAACTATTCTGGCATTTGTGCGTTTAGCTACATTTTAAACTTTATTATATTTTATAATATTCATAAATATATATAGAAGATATATATATATACATATATATCCATATTGAATCATGTGCCTTGACTATTATTTATTTTTCTTTTGCTTGCGACTACTATAAATTTTAGTAAATTTCAATTCTTCACTCAACGCAAATAATTAATAATGTTAAATCTATTTTTTGTTATATATAAATATAAACAGCGTGATACGCCGTGGGGAGAGTTGCCCTGAAAACTCGAAACATAATTAAAATAACTTAAGTGAAAATATAAAATAATAAATAAAGTGTTAAATAATATGTAAAATAATTTAAAGGACGCGCTTAAATGAACTAGGCAAATGATTACAGTAATTATAATTAGCTTTTAATCGTATTTTAAATTTATGTATTTATATTTAGTTATATTTATATCATATTTTAGCATTTATAAAATGATGTTTTATTTTACTTTTGTTTTATGTTTAACTCTAAGCTACAATATCTAAGTTTTGAGCATCTGTGACTGCTGGATTAAGCGGTTGTTGCAGGTTGTTGTTGTTGTTGTTGTTGTTGTTGCACAGGGTGGTTGGCGTTGGAGTGGTTGTTGTCGGATGGATCAGTTCATCAACATGCAAGCAGTTGGCATTTTCCAATTGTTGTTGTTGTTGATGCGTGTTGTATTGTTGTTGCAGTTGCGTTTGTTGTTGCATCAGCGCGAGCATTTGTTGTTGTTGATGTTGTTGTTGGGCCAGTTCATCGCAATTAACAGCAATTATTGGCGGCACATCAGCAGCATTGTTAGTAACAGTGGTAAAATTAGCATTAGTATGGGTTAAATCAGTTGTTGTTGTTGCTGTTATTGGTGTTGTTGTAGGTGTTGGGACTGTTGTAGATGGTTGTTGTGGTGTTGTTGTTGTTGTTGTTGTTGATGTTGTTGCTGTTGGATTGGGCATGTCATTGCTGGGTGTGGGTGTGATGGATGATGGAGCAACTGTGGGTGGTAACAATGATGAGATGGGTAATAAGCTAGAATTAGTATTTGCTGTGACTGTTGTTGATGGTGTTGTTGTTGTTGCTGTTGCAGTTGCAGTTGCTGTTTCATTTGTTATTTCACTAGTTGCTGCATGACTATGACTAATGAGATTTGACTGCGGCTGCTGCTGCTGCTGTTGTTGCTGTAGCTGTAGCTGTTGTTGTAGCTGTTGTGTTTCATGTTGTATTTGCAGCTGCAACAGCTGCTGTTGCTGCTGTGCTAGCAACAGCTGTTGCTGTTGTTGTTGGTGTATAACATTACCATTGCTGCAAATTTTGCTATAGAGATCCGGCGTGGCCGTTGTCACATCCTCGAATTCCGTGCGCAGCGCCGTGCGCTTCAATAAGTTCAGATTGCCTGGCAAATAGGACAGTATATTGTAGATGAGGCGTATATCCTCGCTGGAGGTCCACACGCCGGGTCGCTTATTGTGATAGAGCTTGGCATACTGGTAAACATTCGCCGTATTGCAGTACTCCATCTCAATGGACAGCGAGGAGATGGCGCAGAAGGTACACGCCTGAGCGCCGCCATATCTAAAAGGAAGTTCGATTATAAAGGCATTCAGCTTGGGAGAGAGCTACGAGATTGTCGCTCACCTGTCGACCACAACGATGGGTCCATTGCGATAGTCATTGCAGCGCTCGTGCACATCGACTATGAAGTCATAGATGCTATTTGGATTGGACATCTCGGGCCAGCTGGGGCAGTGGAGCATTTTGACACTTAGCTCGTAGTCGTCCTGTATGGACTGGATGACAAAGTCGCGGCTCACGTAGTCGCTTTTGTTCACTTTGTTCAGGAATTTGACGCGATAATAATCGCTCTCGATGGGCGTGGCCTCATCCGGCCAGAACTGCGCAAAGTTCTGCAACGAACGGAGCTCAGTTTGTGTTCTCTTTTCGAGAGTTAGTCAACTTACAATATCATCCAGCGAGGAGAGCAGCACAATTGTCTGGGCATTGTGATCCCAGACCATTTGCCAGAAGTCCTTTATCGTGTGCGTCATGGGATGTTGGGTGACAATAAAGTCGCGTAGGCGCCGGAAGCCGTGCAGCCAGGAGGCGTTTATATAATCGCTGCCATCCTCCCCCGGCTTGGGCGTCAAGTGTACGCGACTGCCCTCAATGGGGAAGATGGCGCCGCGATTCTTAATCGAGTTCACCTGCTTCATGGCGGAGGCGATGTGTATATCCTTTGTCTGGAACTGAATGATATTCTTGTACTGCTGCTCCAGATACGGAGTGCAGTTCTTGAGCTCCTCGACCTGCTCCGCGGGCAGATTGGTTTCGCCCGAGGCAATCGCCTCGACGAGTGCATCGTGCAGGAATATATACTGCTCCTCGGTCTGGACAAGAAAATTGCGCTGGGCGCGTATGTGGCGCAGAAAGCCAAAGACATTCACGATCGACTTCTGTTGAATCTGCTTGAGCATGGCGTCCAGGACAATGTAGGTGCCGGTGCGACCGACGCCAGCGCTGCAAGTGGATCGAACCGAGTCGCATAAGTCAAGGTCAAAGTCAAATATGCTGGGATTGCCAACGCTCACCTGCAGTGGACAACAATTGGACCCGCTTCGGCGGGATTGGCAGCTGAGGATTTCTTGATGAAATTCAGCACGGGCAATGGATGATCCGGTGTGCCATGGTCTGGCCAGTTGGTATAGTGATACTGATAGACCAGCTTCTCCAGATTGCACTGCTTCTTCTTCTTGAGCTAAAGTGAATTTTTGCACTTTGCAATTAATTGGAAAGAAGAGTCTCTTAGAGCTACCCACCTTGAGGTGCTTGATCTGCAGCGTGCGCACCGTGTAGGTGGACATGACCTCCTCCTCGACCAGCTTCACCTGTATGACGCCATAGGTCTCGATGCCATCCTTCGGCCAATACATGTCGCACTTGCGACGACCGCGCTCCACCAGGTTGGTGATCATGACGATAATGGCAACGCGCTGCTCCCAGATCATGCGCCAGAAGCAATCAAAGGTATCGGGCAATGGTCCCTGGGTGCCAATGAAGGCATGCGCCTTCTGGTAGCCATCAATGAAATTGGCATTGATGTAGTCCAGGTTCTTTTTCTGGCCCGGCGTGGGATGCAAATGGACGCGACTGTGATCGTCTGTAGCGAAAGAGGCAGAGAGAGAGGGAGAATTTAGTAATGGTTTTCTTATACCCTGTAATTGCCCACTTACAGGCTGTTATGTTTAGGTAGCGATTCTTGCGCTTGTTCTCCGGATGCTGCGAGTGCTCACAGGCCATATCGTCGCTGACGCACTCGTTCTGTATGGCCTCGTACTCCCGACTAAAGCCAATATCCCCGTCCGCGTGCAGCGATGCGACGTGCTTAGCGAATTCGTTAACGGGCACCGCCGCACGTATCTCATCGCCGATCTTGACGGGCACCTCCCAGTCCACCTGAGGTGCATTGGGATGGTGTGGCGGATCGTCCAGGT